TTTTCTTTGCAATCGATATGATGGGTGTGTGTATGCTGAACTTGTTTCGCACCGTGTGTAGCCAACCGTGCTAATCGTAGGTATGGTGCCTCCTACTTGTGCATGTTCTCTAATTCACATGTTCATCTTCTTGTCTCTGTCGTTTTAATCACGCACCTCCCCATGCTTTGTGCGCTCTTTTCAGCTTCTGATCCATTTAATCTGTGAATGATATACAACAAGTCATGCACAGCAAGTTCACAAAACCATTTTACGATACGAGTTACATGGAACAACTGAAGAACACATCAATATATTTATACCTCGGAAGTTATAGAAGGCGACAATGATCAACATTATGAAATAAAGAAGCACTGTGGGTAGGAGTGCTTTTTTAAAACTGAAGATAATAACGAAACTCAACTTTCCAATATGGAAATATTTCAACCGATGCATATTGCTTGCTATGAAATTTAGATCAATAACATTAATGATGGCAATATTTACACTCTAAGGAAAATTACTTTGAGGTGGCGACGGCCTGGGGAGACTTTCATCCAGCAGTGGGTTGATCATGGTTGATGATGGTTACAGCAGCTACATGTGTGGAATATCCTGGTTTGCATTCTATTTTTGTGCTGGGCACTTTTGCCTTGCTAAGGGGCACACACTCTGTGTCAATGGGCTCTCAGCTGGGCTGTGAGGGTCTTCACACGTGCATGGCCAGTCAGAATTATATATATTGCCCAAAAAAATAAGCGATGGTTAATCCCGGCACTTGAATATGTGCCGCTACTTGAAAGTGTGATCCTGTGTTCACTTCAACCTACATGCCATCTGCACCTTCATCCTTAGCCAGACAAGCATCCCTTCACACTCCGTATGATAATGAACATGTTTTGATACCCACGCTGCTCGTATTAACCGTGTGTTCCGCTGACCACTGACCCCAATTATTCTCAAGCTTTGATGGGAAACACTTTGATCAGCGCACTGTGCTTTGATCACATTTACATTCACAATTCGGTCCTGGAGAATGTAGGGACGGAAACAAAGGTGTCAGTGGTCAGATGTGACGACTCGGTGTGCAAATATTCACCCCCCCCCCAAAACAGCGATATGATTGTTACGATTTATGGTCGCGATTTGATCCAAGAATAGCCTGGATTGAACGTTGGGGTAAATTATGGCGCTGCTAGTGGATGCAAGGGGTATTGTGAAGCCCGTTTGTGTACGACGTTCCAATTGAAGAAAAAAAACCGAATTGCACTGCACTGTATACGTTTACATGCACGGATTAATCGACGAATGAGATACTTTATACATTAGTTACCACTCCTGCTCGACACAGCTTCTGGTACGAACCTGGACATGTTTAGCTAATCCACGCTGCCTAGCATAGTTGAGGTATGGCCAAACAACCCCCCATGACCAATATGGTGTGAAAGAAGTATGTTGAACTTCTTTCACACCATACGTAGCCGACCGTGCTAATCGGGGGTGCTGGGGAAGGATAACAAACTAAACACAAAAAACTATTCTAAAGAAATGAGTTTTTTAATCTATATGTAAAATTGCATAGCTCCAGTGGCTTCATTACATCGGAAGGAAGAGCGTTCCAGATGGAAAACATGCAGCAGTGGATTGATAAAGGGCTGTAAACAGATTTGTTCGGTAAAGTTGGGAGAAAATACACAGACAGGAACTGTGTGCCACTGTAAACAAACCCGTTAATGGGAATAGGTTTTACCCTTTTAACTGGCACAAAAACTGACACCTTTATTAAAGGCATCATGTTTGCAATAACCACAACACAAGCAGTCAAAATGCAAACAAAAAAGACAACTCAGATAATAATATGCACTGTCCTTGAATTTGATTGATCCACACCCGAGACAGCTTTTCTTAGAGCCTAGTCTCCATTGGTGTTGGACCAGAAGACGCAAAAAGGCGTACAACTCAAAACAGCGCACTATCAGAGTATTGAGGGCTCGGGGTGAGCATAAAGATATAGGAATAGGTTTTACTCTTTTAACTGAGTTGTACGCCTTTTGGCGTCTTCTGGTCCAACACCAGTGTAGACAAGGCTCTAAGAAAAGCCGTCTCGGGTGTGGACCAATCAAATTCAAGGACAGTGCATATTATCAGAGTTGTCTCTTTTGTTTGCATTTTGACTGCTTGTGTTGTGGTTATTGCAAACATGATGTCTTGAATAAAGGTGTCAGTTTTTGTGCCAGTTAAAAGGGTAAAACCTATTCCTATATCTTGTTTCTGGCAAAGGAGGTCTCATAAAACCCGTTAATCCTTAATACCAGTCTATGAGCACAGGCGGCGCTGTAAGACTACTGTGGACAGCGAAGGACACAATGGAATGTTGAGTGTTCTTCTTGCTGACGGCGTGGAATTTTATGATCCGCAACGTGTGCACGTTCATGTCGAGGTTCGTTGAGTGAGCCAGCCAGTGGACGGACCCAGGAGTAGCCGCATGGGGGAATATTTTGAAATTCTGCCAGACGAGAATTTTGAAAGAGAGGCTGGAATAGACGGGCGGCAAATATTGGCCAATCAGCCAAAAGTTTTGCAAGGGAAAAAATGTGGTGCGTTGATGTGGTATGACGGCAGGGTTAACTACAAGTTACAAGTCTGGTCAATAATATATTAGAATTACGAATTATGATATTTTATTCACCCGAGATAAAATGCAACATGTTTCTCTAGAAAAGCCAAATTACTATTTGTATTGCATTTGTATCAATATGCGATGCATGTTGTTCATTAGTGCAGTCAATATGACACTGTCAGCAAGTAGATATGCCATTCATTGAAATGGAATTGTATTGATAGTTTTTGTATTTAATAATGATTAATATTTATGACATTCTGTTGCTTCCTTCTTTTTTGCTTGTTTTTGTTGAGTTAGTATTTTATTATGATGTGTCCTTTTATTATTAACTATAGTTATATTCCCTTAATTGTTATCCATTATTAGATAAATAAACACATTGATGTAATTGCCGATAAAATTTCACGCAATTGAATTAACAATATTCAAATACATTCATTTGATCACATTCCAGAAAAGTTCTACCTATTGTGCACTTTTTCACTATAAAACATTTTAATGAAAATAAATTCAGAATTTTACCAATAATATTAAAATTAATGTTCTTCAATATTGCACAGTTCAGTAATCTAAAACTAAAAGTGAAAGTAAATTCTGCACGTAAAATATGTTAAGTTAAATGCCATTATTTTGCAACATTGCATAGGATATAGAGATACTAATATTTATAAAAAAAACTTTTCAGTTGGTAATTTCACAAATTTACAGTATGTGTTTGAAAAACAAAATGAAGAAAATAAAATCAGAAATTACACATTAAGCAATCAAACTTAACCGAGACCCGGCCGGAATGTGTCCGCTGATCCCTCTGGATCTTGAAAGCTAAGCAGTATATAAGGCCTGGCTTCGGGCTTGGGTGGGTGACCATCATTGCTCTGCAGGTGTTGTGGATATTGGCTTGTGATGTGCCAGGAGATGGCAGCAAAGATGTTTGTGCGGCCTACATATTTGACTCACTCCCGTGGATTGAGTCCTTGGATTGAACCTGTGTGGGGCGCTGAGTACAACCTCCTGGAATGTCATTTTTATCTAGGACTCTAGGTACTCCCCCCCCCCCCCCTAGATTCCCAACCACTGTCAATGGAATTCGCCAAACATCCCATATCGAGGACCCTACTGAAACACGTCTTGAGACTCAGTGAGGCTCTCCTGAGTAAATATAATTTTGTCATTCGTAGTGTAATAAGCTGCGTGTGCTTAAATACACAATACTGTATGTAAAATAGGCAATAACACAAACATTGTAAAACGCAAATTAATTTCACCAAAACATATGTGTATTTGTGTAATAATATATAAAATGTGAACCAGACTGAATACCCCAAAACACCTCAAATCTAAATTTTGATTTAAAGCTTTCGTGACTGCAGTAATTCATATTCTTAGCTCTTTCGGTAAAGTCACGTTGAAGGGAAACAATACAATAATAAAAAATATATAAAACAATAAAAATTATCACGTTTCGACCGTAACATCACCTGATGATGACCGTTTGTGTTATGGTCGAAACGTGGTGAGAATTTTTATTGTTTTATATATATTTTATTATTTTATTGTTTCCCTTCAACGTGACTTTACCGAAAGAGCTAAGAATACTTCAAATCTAATTCGCCAATCATCCACTACAAGGACCTTCTTTAAAATAAATGTGTCTTGAGCGAAGCTTCCCCGGATGAACAAAGGTTACAACTGCCATTGTTGCCTTGTAATATTCCACCTTGTAACGTTATAAAGTGAATAAAAATTCATTTTATATGTGCGGCGTCTTTTTCTCAAAAAGCGTTTGGGATCGTGGCCTACCTTCTTCCACTTGGCTCTGCCCATTGAATTAAATCGCGACACTTTTGCATCAGATAACATCCCCCCAGTTGCGTCCAGTTGTTCAAAATTTGCTTCTGTAATTTAAATTCCCTCTCTGTCCCGCATTTTTTGTGGCACCTCCAATGTCCCGGTCAAAACATCACATTCAGTCAGGACCCAATGGATCCTACTCCTCTATCCCCTCCTCCACCCCCTATTCATTGCCCCACCCATAAAAAAAAACATTTAAATATAAATATATAAATATATCCCCCACCTAAATCTGACTTGTGTAATCAATGCACGCATTATTGACTCGGTATTTAGTGACTTGCTTACCATTTTCCCCTTTTTTTGCCCTCTTACCTTTTTTATTTGCATTTGTTTTGGTATCGTTTGTAAAAAACTTGGCGGACCCCCCTACCCCACCCCACCATGCCCACCCCCATACTGGACATCTGTGAGCGACGCACGAGACCAAAAAAAAATAGAGCTTCTGAGCTCATCGGATTCCTCCCCCCCCCCCCCAACAAAAACCACCCCCCCAAAAAAATTCACCAAACGCCCATTTATTTAATTCCGTTTATTTATTTAATTGCATCGCAAGCGCTGCCGGGACACGTGACGTCAACTCCAACGCCGGAGTTGCAAGTTGCCGGAGCGGGGCGTGCGCGCGGTTTTAGGTCGCCGCCGATCATTCCAAATGTGCGGATAATCCTGTACGGGGCGACTACTCTTCGTCAACATCATCACCATCTCGTCGCCATCATCAACATCGTCGTTATCATCGCAGCGCTTTTTTTGTGTCCTGGGGAGCGCCGCTCGGTTTGGTGGGGGGGGTGGGTGGCGGCGGTGGCGGCGGTGATGATGATGATGGGGGCGACATTTGTTAAGTGTTGGGTCTCAGTGTAGCGGCGGTCGTAGGAGTCGTAGTTCGTGTAGATGTTATTGTTCAAGATGCATCGTTAGCAGGGCACTTTATCACCGTGGCGATACTCGCAGTGGTAACCACAAGCGTACGCTGCCCCATAGACAGATCGCCCAGCGTGCAGCAGCAGCATCGTCATATACTGTATTGTGGATTATACGCTTGCGGCCGGCGACTACTCCGGTGAGACGTGGCTTGTTGCAAAGATGCTCAAATGCATGCCTCTGTGGCGATGCAATCGGCACGTGGACGCCATAGACAAGAGGCATTGCTCGCTGGTCGTGGTGCCCGACGAGGTTCTGCGGTGTGGCCGCTCCCTGGAGGAGCTGCTCCTGGACGCCAACCAGCTCCGCGAGCTGCCGAAGGTGCGCGCGCTTCCTCCTCCAGCCGTGGGCTACGTGCTGTCTACCTACCTGTTTCCTGCCTATCTCTTGAGCCTACCTGGTTTCCTGCTTATCTCTAGAGCCTACCTGGTTTCCTGCCTATCTCTAGAGCCTACCTGGTCTCCTGCCTATCTCTAGAGCCTACCTCGTTTTCTGCCTATCTCTAGAGCCTACCTGGTTCCCTGCCTATCTCTAGAACCTACCTCGTTTTCTGCCTATCTCTAGAGCCTACCTGGTTCCCTGCCTATCTCTAGAGCCTACCTGGTTCCCTGCCTATCTCTAGAGTCTACCTGGTCTCCTGCCTATCTCTAGAGCCTACCTGGTTCCCTGCCTATCTCTAGAGTCTACCTGGTTTCCTGCTTATCTCTAGAGCCTACCTGGTCTCCTGCCTATCTCTAGAGCCTACCTGGTTTCCTGCCTATCTCTAGAGTCTACCTGGTTTCCTACCTATCTCTAGAGCCTACCTGGTTTCCTGCCTATCTCTAGAGTCTACCTGGTTTCCTGCCTATCTCTAGAGCCTACCTGGTCTCCTGCCTATCTCGAGAGCCTACCTGGTTTCCTGCTTATCTCTAGAGCCGACCTGGTTTCCTGCCTATCTCTAGAGCCTACCTGGTTTCCTGCCTATCTCTAGAGTCTACCTGGTTTCCTGCCTATCTCTAGAGTCTACCTGGTTTCCTGCCTATCTCTAGAGTCTACCTGGTTTCCTGCCTATCTCTAGAGTCTACCTGGTTTCCTGCCTATCTCTAGAGTCTACCTGGTTTCCTGCCTATCTCTAGAGCCGATCTGGTTTCCTGCCTATCTCTAGAGCCTACCTGGTCTCCTGCCTATCTCTAGATCCTACCTGGGTTCCTGCTTATCTCTAGAGCCTACCTGGTTTCCTGCTTATCTCTAGAGCCTACCTGGTTTCCTGCCTATCTCTAGAGCCTACCTGGTTTCCTGCTTATCTCTAGAGCCTACCTGGTTTCCTGATTATCTCTAGATCCTACCTGGTTTCCTGCTTATCTCTAGAGCCTACCTGGTTTCCTGCCTATCTCTAGAGTCTACCTGGGTTCCTGCTTATCTCTAGAGCCTACCTGGTCTCCTGATTATCTCTAGAGCCTACCTGGTCTCCTGCCTATCTCTAGAGCCTTCCTGGTTTCCTATCTCTAGAGCCTACCTGGTTTCCTGCCTATCTCTAGAGTCTACCTGGTTCCCTGCTTATCTCTAGAGCCTACCTGGTTTCCTGCTTATCTCACGAGCCTACCTGGTTTCCTGCCTATCTCTAGAGCCTACCTGGTTTCCTGCCTATCTCTAGAGCCTACCTGGTCTCCTGCCTATCTCTAGATCCTACCTGGTTTCCTGCCTATCTCTAGAGCCTACCTGGTTTCCTGCCTATCTCTAGAGTCTACCTGGTCTCCTGCCTATCTCTAGATCCTACCTGGTTTCCTGCCTATCTCTAGAGCCTACCTGGTTTCCTGCCTATCTCTAGAGCCTACCTGGTTTCCTGCCTATCTCTAGATCCTACCTGGTTTCCTGCTTATCTCTAGAGCCTACCTGGTTTCCTGCTTATCTCTAGAGCCTACCTGGTTTCCTGCTTATCTCTAGATCCTACCTGGTTTCCTGCCTGCCTGCCTGCTTACCTGTTGTCTTCCCTGCATACTTGTCTACCTGTCTTCCTGCCTTAACGTCTCCCTTATCTGTCTGCTAATCTGGTCATCTGCCTGCTGTCGTCGTTTGCCTGCCTGCAATGGCTGTGCCTATCACCCGGCTGCCTGTCTACCTGCTGCTGTTCTCCGTGTCCTCCTGTCTGAATGTTTCCCCTGTCCATCTGCTTGTTGGCCTACCTGCCTACCTCTTTACCTGTCTGCCTGTCTACCTGCCGTGTGCTTGCCCTTTGTCAGTTGTCACCCTGCCGTATGCTCCTGCTCACTTTCACGTGGTAGTGTCTCTCCTGTAATGTGGCTGTACTCGATCTTAACCAACTGTAGGAGATCGCAATTTTTTGTCAGGCTCCAGGCAAAGAGGTACCTGCCTGCCTTTCTGTCTGGTTGCTCTACCTCGGTGTTCATCGTGCCCTGCATCCATTCACCTACCTGTAATTCCTTGGCTGTAGCCCTCCTGTACATCTGCATCTATCCATCCTTGACCAATATAATGGAGAGATCACCTGCCCTACTAACCTTGCTTGACCAGCTTATTTGGAAATCCTGTCTAATCCCCGTTTCAGACTCCCTCTGTATCCAACATTTACTGTGATTCTTTCCAGAGCTGATCAATTCTATAATATTCAATACTTCACCCATCTCACTTTACGTGATAACCCGTGTTTATCTTCCCTGCATACGTAGAATCTATCCTTTGTATAATCCCTGTTCATGACTTAACTGAATCCAACCATAACCAATTTATGGAATGTTCACTGCATCTGCCTTAGATCATTCGCCTTCTCCTTTCCCTCCTCGCCTCTATGATTTATCTACCTCGGCTAACTTCAGGTCCTTTCTGACTTGGTCAGAATTTTGCCAAGCCACCCCCCACCAGTACCCAGAGGCAAGGATACCCACCCTGCTCTTGCACGTCCCTATTCTGACCACTGAAATCACAACCCAAATCATCAATCGTTTACACACAAACCTTAGCCGCTGTCATGAAAAAAATCCAACCAGAGCTCCTATCATTATCATCATCCTCGAAACCAAACTATTGTATTTTATCATACAGTAATTATTTTACACTCGTCACTCATCTAAACCCGAACCATTGTCCCGATTATAACGCCTCTAGATCCCAACCCTATCCACTTATTACACCCCAATTATAGCCCCTCACCATGACTTTTGAACACCACAACCATAGCCCCTATCATCACTCAATTAGACACCAACCATATCTCATATTATCACTCTACACCCCAACCATAGCCCCTTTTCATCACTATACTACAACCATACCATCACTCTACACCACAACCATACCATCACTCTACACCACAACCATACCATCCAACCATACCATCACTCTACACCACAACTATACCATCACTCTACACCACAACTATACCATCACTCTATACCACAACCATACCATCACTCTACACCACAACCATACCATCACTCTACACCACAACCATACCATCACTCTGCACCACAACCATCACTCTACACCACAACCATACCATCACTCTACACCACAACCATACCATCACTCTACACCACAACCATACCATCACTCTACACCACAACCATACCATCACTCTATACCACAACCATACCATCACTCTACACCACAACTATACCATCACTCTACACCACAACCATACCATCACTCTACACCACAACCATACCATCACTCTTCACCACAACCATACCATCACTCTATACCACAACTATACCATCACTCTACACCACAACCATACCATCACTCTACACTACAATCATACCATCACTTCACCACAACCATACCATCACTCTATACCACAACCATACCATCACTCTACACCACAACCATACCATCACTCTATACCACAACCATACCATCACTCTATACCATAACCATACTATCACTCTATACCACAACCATACCACCACTCTACACCACAACCATACCATCACTCTATACCACAACCATACCATCACTCTATACCACAACCATACCATCACTCTACACCACAACCATACCACCACTCTTCACGACAACCATACCATCACTCTACACCACAACCATACCATCACTCTACACCACAACCATACCATCACTCTACACCACAACCATACCATCACTCTACACCACAACCATACCATCACTCTATACCACAACCATACCATCACTCTACACCACAACCATACCATCACTCTTCACCACAACCATACCATCACTCTATACCACAACCATACCATCACTCTACACCACAACCATACCATCACTCTACACCACAACCATACCATCACTCTACACCACAACCATACCATCACTCTATACCACAACCATACCATCACTCTATACCACAACCATACTATCACTCTACACCACAACCATACCATCACTCTACACCACAACCATACCATCACTCTATACCACAACCATACCATCACTCTACACCACAACCATACCATCACTCTTCACCACAACCATACCATCACTCTACACCACAACCATACCATCACTCTACACCACAACCATACCATCACTCTACACCACAACCATACCATCACTCTACACCACAACCATACCATCACTACACCACAACCATACCATCACTCTACACCACAACCATACCATCACTCTACACCACAACCATACCATCACTCTTCACCACAACCATACCATCACTCTATACCACAAACATACCATCACTCTACACCACAACCATACCATCACTCTGCACCACAATCATCACTCTACACCACAACCATACCATCACTCTATACCACAACCATACGATCACTGTATACCACAACCATACCATCACTCTACACCACAACCATACCATCACTCTACACCACAACCATACCATCACTCTGCACCACAACCATCACTCTACACCACAACCATACCATCACTCTACACCACAACCATACCATCACTCTAGACCACAACCATACCATCACTCTACACCACAACCATACCATCACTCTACACCACAACCATACCATCACTCTACACTACAACCATACCATCACTCTACACCACAACCATACCATCACTCTACACCACAACCATACCATCACTCTAGACCACAACCATACGATCACTGTATACCACAACCATACCATCACTCTACACCACAACCATACCATCACTCTACACCACAACCATACCATCACTCTACACCACAACCATACCATCACTCTACACTACAACCATACCATCACTCTATACTACAACCATACCATCACTCTATACCACAACCATACTATCACTCTATACCACAACCATACTATCACTCTATACCACAACCATACCATCACTCTACACCACAACCATACCATCACTCTTCACCACAACCATACCATCACTCTACACCACAACCATACTATCACTCTATACCACAACCATACCATGACTCTATACCACAACCATACCATCACTCTACACCACAACTATCACTCTGTACCACAACCATCGCCTCGTTCTTTCATCTACTCTCCAACCATGGTCCCAGGATAACTCCCCCACATCTAAAAATATGACCTTTATAACCAAACGAACTTGCTCAATGGACAGAAAAAAACAACCCTATATCCTCCCACAAACATTAACAATACAGCAGTGGCGTGGGTCGTCTCAAACACCCCGCGGCCCCGACCCCCGCGTTCCCGGGGCCCTCCCTCGCGCCAAACTCCTTGCGCTGTCAGGAAAATCGATAGGCCCCGTTGCGGCCTACTTTCTCCGCCTTGTACTTTTCGCGCGTTTTGCAGAATGTTTGCCGTGTCGTCCGCTTTGGACATACGTTCGTTTAGTTTCGCGTGTTCAAGTGCAACTGATGATATCGTGGTCATTGTTCCAGATATAAAGCCATGGAACAATTGTTTTGTGGGCGCTGCGGCAGTACAGTACTGTGGAGTTTGAGTTTTTTCTATGTACTTGCACTGTACAGTATACGCTCGGTTTTTACAATTGATTTTAGTTTTTAGTTTTCCATAAAATAAGTTCGGTTTGAGTAAACATTTGCAAGTCGACGGAACTAATGCAAAATATACCCATTCAAGACCAATGACGTGTTGCGTAAAACTTCTTGGGTGATTTTCCCCCTTAACTGTCCTAATCGACAAACGTGTAAAAAAAAGCCCATCAAGTGATCATAAGCAAAATATCGACGGCGTGTATAATGCATTGTGTATATAATCGTCGTTGTAATGCCGTAATCTTAGGGCCCGTTATCTATCCACTGCTTGAGGAGGTTCCTCCCAAAAGCCCGTCTCACGGGTCGTGGGTTCATCGTTTGACCATACTTCACCAAGCTGGTCAATTGTGGTTTGATTAAAGGGAAAGGGGGTCCCAGTAATAGTTTCGGATAGTTTATGCCTTTTCAGGCCTACATCATTTATAGTTGTGAACCCGGTGGTTGCGGTTTTGACTTCAACACGCCTCTCGCACGAGGGCAGTTTTGTTGTTGTTGCTGCTGCAATTGACACCTCTGATCCGAAACGCATTACATTTCAAGATAAATATTAAAATAGTGGAGTTGATATTAACACGAATCATTTGTTTGCACTCTTAAGCGTGCTCAGTTTCTCTTAGTCTAATAGGTAATTGCCGATATGAAACAGACATTATCGATCAACCCTACTGTTTGAAGTCCTCAAGACCTCACTTAAGCCATCGCGAACTCGCACGACCAATTGGTTTTAACTTTGCCATTTTGTTGACATACACCAAAACCTATTTTTTTTAAAGATAGAAAACATACACGCGCTATTTCGCGTTTCAAATAATGTGTTCCACCCAAGACGAGAGTACAGTTACAGAAAACAGCTTTCATGGAGAGACCCGCGTTTCTTGTGACAATCATTGTAACGCCAAATATTCACGTGTCATTGCGACTGACCACAGAGTACACACACAGTATTCTTGGTTCTTTCGGTAAAGTCACGTAGAAGGGAAACAATAAAAAATAATTAAAAATATAAATATAAAACAATAAAATTATCACGACGTTTCGACTGCAACACAAGCAATCATTATCATGTGTGGTTTTCACACCTGATATGAATCCCTGCAGTCACGAAAGCTTTAAATTAAAATTTACCACACACAGTGTTTGAATGCCCAAGATAACTTTCACCGCGGAGATGGAATACTGCTTATGGGATAGTATGTGGTTTGCATGGAATACTATGGATGGGCTTTTGCATCACGGGAGTGTGAGAAATTGTGAAAACTTTGGAAGTCAACCATCCAGCAGATGATGGATCATAACTGGTAATGTTTGTATTCATTGCATGAAAGCGTTTGGCACAACACATCACCTTCATCCAGCCAGTGGAATGGTAACGATTTTTAATTATCGCTTTTATGTTTTACTTCTTGGGGAGTTAGTGGTACAGTGGAAAGGGCCCTGCGTTATGAATCCATTGACCCGAGTACGTTTGCCAAGGCTAAGATCATAGCCAAGTGATATCTGAGCCGGTCCTGGGTACCCCTTTGCCAACTGGTACTTATCAGCATGACGAAATATGGTCAGACAATCACCATGACCAACGTGGCATGGGGAAGACTTAATCCAAAAGTGTGATTGACAAAAGGCTGTAAATGATTGTTTCATTAGTTTTTACCATTTTTGTAATCCATTTATTACAGTTTGCTTTCATAATCATCTTCTTGTATTTGTTTGGATTAGCTTTGAATATTGTAATTGACACCTCATGCCCAGAAACGCATTAAACTTTAAAATAAAAGGTCCGAATACTGTAGCTGAGATCATCCAGAACAGCTACACGCTTTAGTTCAACAAATAAGCAAGCGGCTTGTTTAATTCACGTGCCTTTATTTTGGCAGGTGAGAGTCCATTCATGGCTTTTACTTGTAAGAGAAATGACTTCACTTGCACCCAAAACATATTTATACTTTCTCATTCAAGATATTTTAAATTCGTATCAAAAAACAATGACGGTATATATAATTGACCTGGTTTTAGGTAGGATAATTTTTGTTGTATGGCAGTATAATTTGCTATAGCATCTGATTGATTTTACACCGCTTGTGCTTAAAATAAACTTGGAAACCCTATCAATGAATCTCTTTCTGCAGAGAAGACCTGGGACCACATTGGTGCAACTGGGTGCATTTGGAATGTCTCCTCGAGTTGATGGTGCATAACCACAGTCTCCACACGTGCAAACGTGCCAAACGACAGCCACAAGAAGCCTTATCTAATCAATCATTAATGCTCGGTTTACCTTGGGCAGTGCTGTGCAATGTTATGCTGGCGCAAATGTGTGATCTTAATGGCTTATGAGTTGGCCCGGGTTTTTGTTGGTTTTTCTTTGCTGTTGGAGCAGCAATTCTTCAGGCTACACAACCTCCGCAAGCTGGGACTCAGCGACAATGAACTCCAAAGGCTTCCGCCCGACATTGCCAACTTCATGCACCTTGTCGACCTGGATATGTCCAGAAACGGTGAGAAATTTCTGGGGTGGTGGCACATTGGTTAGTGCTGCACCGCACTGTGGACCAGGCGGAGCTGAGTTTGATATAAAGCCATGGGTTACTACATCTGCGAGTAATATATGAATAGATTCTGGGCACCCCATCCGCCAATCTGTACTGGCAATAATTGTAAAATACGGTCAAACGATTTCATTGAACAAAAAGGCCATCGGCGATCGGGAAGCCTTGGATTGACAAATGGTTGTACATTACAATATGGTGACATGGGTACAATGTTAAACTGCGTCCAGTGATGGCGTAATCTAAAACATACAGTTGAGGAATAAACCACCTCTGTCCTTCCCTAGTTTTGGCTTTAGAACCCCAGTGTGGTGTTGTGAGAAAAAAGAGGGGAAGAGTGGTATGGGATGAAGTAATCATGAGCTATGGACCTGCCCTTGGGCAGAGAATGTGAGGGAGATAAGGGTGTTGTGCCTGGCCTCATAAACCATATTGAGTTCTCCCCCACCCCTTTTGAATACAAATGAAGGTAAATGTAATTTGATATGTTTTATGCAACTCTTCACTGTATTTCAAGTCAATCTGTCAATATTAGTATCAAGAGTGATGGAAATTGTTCGGCACGTGGGAGTTGAGGCCATGGGGTGTTTGAGGACGACCCTATATGACTGTTTTGTGTAATGTGTGTGGCCCGATATAGGTTATTGTCCATTGAGTTAGTTAATTTTATTTTTAATTTTGTACTTTTTGCTGTGAAGTGATCCCTGGGGCTACGTTCGGAGTGTAGATGAAAAAAAAGAGGCTATGGTTGGTGTGTAATTGAGCTAAGATAGAGGATATTGTTGGGATCTACGCTTTACACCACAACTCTTCTCAAACATTTGAAAAGGCACTGCCAGTGGCAGCTGAGAGTACAAGGTGACTTGGCACGTGGCCTGAAAAGGGGCATCAGTCTGCCATTTAGGCACGATGATTGCCATGTATAATCCCAATTGAGTAATTTACTCTTTTCAGCTCTAAAATCTTGACCAATACCGTGAAATATTTGTCACAATGATGCTGCCATGTGATATCAATTACTTTACTCATTTTGAGAGCAATAGTGTACATGGTGATACGACATTAGGGATACATTTATAGAAACAACATTTTATTTCAAAGCCAATACATGTCTCTCACCAATCTTAATGCGACTTATTTTATAATTATTACTCTTCTCTAAGATGGAGCTGTTGATTTCAAAAATTAAATTGCTTGTTGTGAAGTAAGTAAATGTAATTTTAAAAAATCGGTGGAGTATCTGTAAATGAATCACCCATTTTAATTTTGTAACAGCCACAGTATTGTAATTTTGGTTGTGCTCGTTGTTTCAGACATTGCAGAGATACCAGACAGTATCAAGCTCTGTACGTGTCTGGAGGTTGTGGATTTTAGTGGCAACCCACTTACAAGGTACAGTTATGATGGTGGTAGTAATGGGCCATTACAGTGCTGGCTCAGCTTGCATTTGAAAAGTATGTTAATAGAAATTGGGTTCCAGTGTGTTGCATCAAACTGTTTGATTTAAAGCTTTCGTGACTGCAGTGATTCATATTCTTGGTTCTTTCGGTAAAGTCACGTTGAAGGGAAACAATAAAGTAATAAAATATATATTTTATTGTTTCCCTTCAACGTGACTTTACCGAAAGAACCAAGAATAAGACTGTTTGATATTATTTTATTATGGTTAACACATTGCATTAAAAACCCTTTGTCCTGAGTTCGATTATTGACCGCAGCTAACATCAGTGGTGAAATGTTATCTAAACCTGTTCTGACCTCACCAGGGGCGGAGCCAGGATTTTGACTTTGGGGGGGCTGACTTCAATATTCTGAGATATCCAGTGTATGTTTTCCAATGGGCGCCACAAATGTATAAAACTAAGTTTATTGGATTTGAACGCGGAGTTTATTAATAGGTCGGAGCCGCTGATGTGGCTAATAAGTTCGATAAGTTCGAAAGGCTGCCGCTCAAGCAGCCTGCAGGGCAGCACAAGGTGGCATCCAGCATTTTGCAGCAGCCGGATATCCGGTTATCCCGATTACCGACTTTCCCAACATTTCTGAGCCCCCCCAGCCTCCCCTGTGGCTCCGCCCCTGGACCTCACACATCCCCACCCCACCCCCAATCTTTACCAACTCACACTGACAAGCACAGTGAAGTATGGTCAAATAACACCTCAAGGCAGACACGACATGGCGTGTTCTTAGCGTGCCCATTTGCTTTTCCGTTCACTTATATCATGTAACGTGACTGACAGAATGGTTTGTTATTTCTATATTGTAACACATACATTGCGCAGTGGTAGCACAGCATGGTGTGATGAGAAAAAGTGAGACTACTACACTTACATTGCTAGGCACAGCCGGTTACATTTTAAGCACATTCTGTGCGGCGGTACACTTTGTCACCAGTTATTGGGTTGAGATTGTTATCCACCTTCTACACAACATATTGAGCTAGTAAAGAGAACGGTTGAAACAACCCCCATGACCAACACGGCTTGTGAAGGCATTAATCCAGCGGTGGATTGGCAGAGGGGTGTATGTAATAAGAGTGTGCGGGAGTGTGCTTATTTTATTAAATACACGTTTCACATGCTCTGTCTGTTTCAGGCTTCCTGAAGGCTTCACACAACTAAAGAGTTTGATTTATCTTTCACTCAATGATGTGTCTTTACAAGGACTGCCAGATGACATTGGAAAGTAAGTGAATACAATCTAAAAAAATCCTTCCCGCAGCTGTTGACACTGGTTATTTATGGCTCGACTTAACATTTATGATTGCGAGTGCATAGTCTGCTGATTGTAGTGGATGCATGGCACTAATTAATATTACATATATGTCTTTTGTTTCCTTTAGTTTGTCAAACCTCGTAACACTGGAACTGAGAGAGAACCTTTTAAAGACACTGCCGACGTGAGTTTTCTGTATTATTATGAAATCACTGAGGCTGTTGCATTGTGTCACTGACGGAGCGATGTGTTTTCGGCTGCTGGAAACAGTTGATAATGATTTTTAAGCACAGAGCAGGTAACGTTTCCTGACTCTTACCATGACTCCTTGCACAGGTCGTTGCATTTGCTCGTCAAGCTGGAACAGCTGGACCTCGGGAATAATGAACTGGAAACTCTGGTAATGCAGGAAAGCCTCAATCCAAATATCATTTACACAACATGGGATTACCCAACCTCGGACCGTATAGCTGCACCTAGACACCATGGATATAATGTTTGTGCTTGTTGGCTTATGGTAATCTCGCAGTGTCTTGTTCATAACAATGAGATTAGCGTCGCCTCGATGTACGTCCTTCATTCTGAACCAGTGTATTGATTGGCTCTGGATTGTTACAAGTACTTACCAGTGCGTGACATTTTAGGTCGTATGTCGAGACATGCGGAGTGCTTTAGTCCAGGGGTTAAAAGGTCACGTGGCTTGGTGGCAGGGATGAGCTAGTGAATCTGATGAAGGTATACTAGTCACATGAGATTTTTACACAAATGAACATACCCTATTGGAAAAAGCAATTGCGTCTACGATTTGTTAAGTCCCTTGATGGAGTTTTTAGATTCCTTTAGCAAATGCACATTCTTGCTTGTCGCCTCTATAAATGTCAAATGCTTTCTTCCTAAGTGAACTGGACTTGGTCAATTGTTTACTGATTGCGCAGCCTGGGTCTCTGGGATCGCTGCCCAATGTGAGGGAGCTCTGGCTGGACGGGAACCAACTTGAAGCCCTTCCCTCGGTATGCTCACCTCCTCCCTGGACATTATCAAAGCTTAACTGTTGCGTGAACTTTACCTAAGTGTGCAACACGTCACACGAGCTTTTGAATTAATTTACACTTTCACAGTACAGTACAACGTCACATATCCACCCTAACTAATGAACCGGGCACACCCAACTGGAGTTTGCCATGTGCCCACTGTCCACAACGACTGCACAGAAGGAGTGACAGGCTGAGGCAGAGCCATCACTGCTAACGTTCCACTGTCATCCGTTAATAAGACTGCTCAGCAGAGATCCTTTATACAGAAAACCACGATAGAGCTTATTTAAGAGTTGAAAAGACATTGAATTTCAGTTTATGTTCCTGTCATACCCCTTATTTTATATCCCTTTTAAATGTTTGAGTTTGAGGAAGGCTGCTATTGTAAACTGCATTGTAATGTATAGCACTGGATTATTTGTAAACATTTTCTCCTGTTTAAGGAAGTTTACACAATATTTATGTGCGGTAACCTTGTTACTCTTATCTGCTATGAAGGGCTGTTGCCCGAAACGTCGCCTATTTTTTACATATATAAAGACGGTGTTCATGATGAATGTGAGTTTATGTCTGAATTGTGCTTGTGCATCACTGCCAATGCAGCATCACCAAATACTTTGTTTAATTGTTGGACAGTGTAACTCATTCATTTTCCATATATGCGGACATGTCTAACCGTTTCACATATCTGCCTTTACCTCACTGCCTCGTGAGTCCGGATACGCGACGTTGTACTGCACGCTAAAGCGGCATGCAGCTGGGATTGCCACAGTTTGTCATGTTGGATGGAAAGAACCCGTGTGTGTTAATTGAGTTCCTGGTCTGTGTGTTCGCTGTGTGTAGGAGATAGGGGAACTCCGGAGGCTGGTGTGCCTCGATATTTCTCAGAACCGGCTGGAGCGGCTGCCAGATGCCATCGGTGGGCTGGCTGCCCTCACGGACTTCCTAGCCTCCCAAAATCACCTTGAGGAGCTCCCAGAAGAACTTGGTAAGCCCTGCCAGAACACCCCACTTCCTACCCATGGATTATAAACAATGAGCGGTAATATTTGATAAGCTGGTGGAGCGGTGGCACTGTGGTTAGCACACCGATGACCTGAAGTCGATAATTGGCCCCAGCTGCCATCAGTAGTGGGTGATATCTCACCTACCCCTCCTCATCCCCCCCATCCCAGTTTTACCAGTCCACGCTCAACCGGAACGGTTGAGTATTGGTTAACAACCTCTATGACCAGCGCGTCATAAAGAGGACTTCATACAATAGTGGTTTGACAGGGGGCTGTAAAACAGTATCTGTTATTTATTTTGTAGGCTTGTAATGGTTCCACTTCTTACATTGCCCAATGCATTTTTATGATTCTGGTTCGTTTCAGGAATGAATTATTTTTGTCTTTGTAATTTTGACGTTTATTGTGTTTTGTTTATTATGTCTGGTGCTCTATTATCATAAATGTTTAATATTATGTAATTAGCGTGTGATTTGCGTACAGCGTAAATAAGACATTTTTACAAGCAGCATCCGATCATGAGAGCAATCATTTATTTGAATTGATCAAGTGTTGCATGCCTAACCTATGGCCCTGCACCATTAACAGCAGTCTTTTGTCCTGAACCCCAATTTGTACACTTGTAAATCTTAAACTTTAATCCATAATCCTCATCCTCAGTAAAATGTGCTCCTGAAGCTGCTCTTGAAATGCATTAAGTACTTAACAGTATTATAAACAACGCTGGCTGTGGCCAAACTACAGCACAGAACCTTCCAAAAGAAACCACCAGACCCGTTTCTTAGCTCAACCCATTACCCAAAACATTCAGAAAGGCCTATTGGTATAACTCCCTGAAGGAAAATCCTTCAGAGATGGATTTTGAGCGTTGATATAGTGCCCACAGTTATATATTTGGGATCATGTCCAAAGAAAAGGGGGCTTACAATGTCCCGGTGTTTAAATTTGCCTGTTTAACGAAGTGTCTCGCCAGTGTTTAAAGAAGTGGGCGAAATAAAATTCCCAAGGGGAGTTTCTGGAATCCGAGCGATCCTAACCAGAGCCTCTGGCATGCACGTGAGCAAGGGGTTGAGTTAAAATTGGTAGAGGGAAATTAGCACTTGGGCTAGGCGCGTCGCGTCGCATGATTCACTTGGCGTGCAGCCACTTGGATAATGGGGAGCTGCAGAACGTATCAGCAAGTGTGATTTCTAATGCTCTCGTAATCTTTCTGTAAATGTGAAGAACTACGTCTTCCAGATTGTGGGCTTTAGCACACATCATGGGTTAGGGCTGCGCCTGATTTGTATAAGAGAGGAGTTGCATAGTTCTGTGCGCAAATGCTGAGATGAGTTGCTCTGTGACTCCAATGGGTCGTTCAGCATCTGTGCCCCCGTTGGTATGGGAATCGATGTTTGCGTGGCATCTGTCTGCTCTCAGGGAAACTGAAACACCTGTCAATCCTGAAGGCCGATCAGAACCGCCTTACTCACCTCCCCGAAGCCATTGGTGACTGCGAGAACCTCACTGAACTTATTCTCACTGAAAACCAGCTGGTGGTAAGAGTCAATGAAATGTTTCATTAAATTCTTATTAACGTTTTTATTGTAGTGGCCAAGCTTTCATGCTTTGCGATATAGCTCTTGAAATGAAAATGTAAATACTCATTGTTTATGTTTTTGATGCTACATAGGTTTTCATAATTGTGCTGTGTAGCTCAAGGTTATGTTTTCTGATTGTGCCACTTTTGTTGATCAGCATGATGTCCGACGTTTGTCTCCGTGTGCTGTGGACCACTGAATAAAGCGGCTCCACTTTCAGCTGTATGTTTTGTTAATAAAAAAATATGAATGGTTGAATATGAACTTCTTTTAAATGTTTTGAATATTTCTTGTGACCTTGCAAGTGTGCGACTCCATCCGGCAAAGGAAGTGTGTGTTATTGTGATTATTATTTTTAGTGTTAAACGTTTATTTGAAATGTTCCATTATTTTAACAGACCCTTCCTGCCAGTATTGGGAAGCTTACAAAGCTTACAAACTTGAACTTGGACAAAAATCGCTTGAATTCAATACCTCCTGAGGTACTGTACCCTTGACGTCTCATTGTCAGTTTTTTGCTAACCCCTTGTGTATTTATATGCCTAAAGTTACACGAATCATATGAAGCTTGTACGTGCATGTTCGTCCTTGTGATATTGAAGTTTGAGGAGCACAAGTATCGTGGTTAGTGCAAGACTCCGATACCCAATCCATGCACTGCATCAGTAGTAAATGTATTTGAACCTGTTCTGTGCGCCCCCTAGGTAAACTCGGCCTTAAATGGGTAACTTCAATGGTTTTAGAGTATTTGGCTGCTATACGTTTCCACATGATAAGCCAATTCGTTTAGCTATCATTTGTGGCAAGGTCCCTTCTGAAAATGAGCTAGATAGCTCAGTGGGCCTTACCTGGTAAAATAAAAGTTTAATTCAGTTTTACCTAGTGTAGTTGTGAGCATCAACACTAGACGAAGGTGGCTGGGCATGCTGCTCTCTACACCACCGTCAATGCTAGCCCCAACAGTTGTGAAGACAAAATAGGTAGTTTTTGTATATCTGGAGTGCTAAAAACTCAAGGTGTATGTATACAAGGAAGTTGAAAAGTCTTGAGTTTATGATTCTTATATTGGCAGAGGTTCATTTAAACCTGACAAAGTGCTCTGTCTTTGCATTGTTATTTTTTTTCCTTTAGCGCCATAGAGACAGAGCCTTCTGCCAGGCTTTTGAATATCCTTCAACCAGCATACCGATCGTCCCCTATGCGTGTAACAATGCTTGCGATGGTCGGTGCGTGCAGATCGGGGGCTGCGGTGCATTGAACGTGCTCTCACTGCGAGACAACCGCCTGACGCAAGTTCCCGGGGAGATTTCCGGTGCCTCCCAAATTCACGTGCTCGACTTGGCCGGCAACAGGTGACATCATGCAACACGAGCCCGTGTGGAGGCCTTGAAGCACCAGGGTCATTTTAAAAGCGATCGTAGCCAGCAGTCGTCGCTCATAAATAGTTGCTTCAACATTGTTTCATGTTCTTAGCTCTTTCGGTAAAGTCACGTTAAAGGGAAAACAATAAAATAATAAAATATATTTAAAACAATAAAAAATTCTCACGACGTTTCGACCATAACACAATCGGTCATCATCAGGTGTGAAAAAAACAACGGCAAGAAAGAGCTAAGAATATGAATTACTGCAGTCACGAAAGCTTTAAATCAAAATTTCATTGTTTCATGCTTTACAACTAAGGTTGAAAGCTACTGAGTAGGTTTTCGCGGTTGTGCTGCATCGCTCTGTAGTGTGTTTTCAGGTTTACTGGATGTTGTCCGGCATGATGTATTGACGTTGTGCTCCTTGCAGAGAGCTCCCATCATGGTCCGCTTTACCACAAGAGGGTGATGAGAACTGGAGTTTTAAAACCACTGGGCTAGACGCTCTGTCATTGTCGTACCGTGTTGCCGCAATTGCCCCGAGAAAATTCCTTCACAGTGAAAATTGCCTGCAACGATTGCCCTGCAAAATTTCCCTTGTATGTCTTGGCCTTCACATTAGCACCACAGGGCTTCTTATGACAGACTTGCTTAGTGCTGCTTGGTGTGCTTACTCGCCTAGCACTGACACTCTCAGCCTTGCCTGTCTCTTCTTGGCAGTGCATTTGACCACTGGGCATGTAATACATTTTTAAACTCATGATAAATTAATAGATTCTCATGTGTAATAATATATATGGGGGAGCAAGTGTTATGTGTTTTGCGCACCATGCTATGAACCTGGTGATCCGGTAAATGCCCAACCCCGATGATATAGCCTTTCTTCAACCTACACTCTTTAGCGTGGTGAAGCATGGCCAATCTACCTCCATTGCCAGCACAGGAGGGGCCATCATTCAGCAGTGGCTTGACAAAGGCATTAAATGATCCCTTATTATATACTGCTGGTAATTTATATGTAAAAACCGCGCAACCCCTGCTGTTTCTACGTGTACTACAATGGGAGAATAATGTATTGCATTTTTGAATTGCAATTCCAATTCATGATAAAATGTAAAATTACGGAGTTGAATTGTTTCATGCATGCCCAACACTTCCAGCTAATTGTAAATACAAAATTTAACATTGTGCCCTTTAGGACAGATCTTTAATTGGCAAATTGTTATATATGCATGTGAATATGTCTCTTGTTGTACACCATGGCTCACATTAAGACGGCAAGGGCCTTTGGAGTGACCATCCGAACCCTGGCCTACTGAGAGATAAGATATATACAGATTAGTGATATGACAGATAAACGAGAGCTAGATATGACAGATGTAGATAAAATATTAAACGAAAGTTACATTAGCAAGAGAGATGTGAGAGACTTGTAGATGAGATGTATATGTTACTGGTCAGATGTAATGTTGTTATGACTTGGAGACACTGATTTTATTTTGCATATACATGTAACAGGAAGTTACGTGGCTCACCATTGCATGTTAATTTTATTTTATGGACCCGCCGGGTATATAATGTTGAGGAATCCTGCTGTACACAAAATACTTGTGTGTGCCCTGTGTTTCTATCGGCATGTAGTGATTATTATCCTCCGAATGCAATTACTTGTAAATATGATTAATGAATAAATAGTTTGGTGCGAAAGGTATTACACGAGCGACAGATTTTTTTTTTAAGTTAAATCCGTTATGTTGTCCAACGGTACACTCAATACGGACAGCTTTCCGTAAAAGAAAAATATGCTCCGCATTTTATTGTGCTGCAGGTTAGAAAACTTGCCGATAGAACTGGCCAAGTTGAGCCTCAAGGCTCTGTGGCTATCCGAAAACCAGTCGCAGCCCATGCTGAAATTCCAGACGGAGGAGGACGTGCGGAGTGGCCTCAAGGTGCTCACCTGCGTGCTGTTGCCCCAGAGGCCTCCGCTCAGCATGGGTATGTATCCACGCACACACAATGTGCCTGCTGGTCGTACCGCATGTTCGGCACAATGTGCGATGTTTGTCTCTACGTGGTGGAAGCTTGTTCGGGAACTGAATTCTTGAAATCACTGATGTAGGTTACAGAATCGTTGCAAGTCGCTTGATTTATTGAAACACCTTTGCACACGGCAATGGCACTGGGAAGGGAAGCTAGCTGCTTTCCTTGGGTGAGACCACCGTGCCCGTCACGGGTCAAAGCATGTGTTGACTTTAACACTTGAAGGAAGCATGAAAGGAGTTTTCCATTGGTACCCTTGCAGTGCAGCATTTCACCTTTTTTTTCCCGATTTAAAGCAGAAAACCAGTTGAAAGACTGCTGCTGATTAATTATTCTGACTTGTTTATGTTTATGAGGGGTGTGTGTATCCTGATAAGTGTTAAGGTTTTGAGTCCCATTGCCTAGGGCTCTTGTCATACAACCAAGACAATATAACAAGTGTGTAACTTGTGTCGTTTAGTCTGTGAAATCGAGAAAAATCATGCATGTGTGTGAATTCTGCACCACTTTCCGACGTGTGTTTGTCCTCGGAAGTTTTTAATTAGTAACACTAACGTTACGTTCCAAGCCGCACAACGATTCTATGTCACACGCTACATGACACCATGGTGGGAGGCGAGAACCGCGTGCTTGGTGTGTCACATCGTGGCCGAAGAGGCTTATCCATTTTGCACTTATTTTCGGCAAAGAAATTTAGCCTTCATTTTTCTTGGATAACTTCTTAAGAGAAACAAAACTTTATTTGAACATTTAATTTAATTTATACTTTACCAGGATTATCATAACTTCGTGTTACAGACAGGCGGACGGACAAGGGCTAATGCATTCACGCTTTCAACCTCCCTTGCGAAACGTTAAAGAGGGTAACTTAAGGACACACACGCGGAAGGCCCTGAGCGCAACCCGTGTCGTCCTCCTCTCGCCGTTGGAACGTTTAGACCAGGTGCTGGCGGAGGAGAGTGACAACAGCCCCCCACCGGGGGATGAGAGCAACCGGGTGAGCGTCATCCAGTTCCACGCCGACGTTCCGGAGGATGGAGATTCCAACGACCACGAGCGAAAGGTGCGTGCTCGCCTGTTCACTTTCCCGCCGCAAAAGCCATACTTGCAGAAGGGTTTCTAACTGCGCAAGAGGAACTGGATGATGCCTTGGAATCGTGCATAACAACAAAAGTGTAGTATGCTCAAAAGACATTCATGGGGGTTTCTTTGGACTTTTTTTTTTAGAAGTGTACCTGTTTTCGGGTTTGTTTTGCCATTTTTATTTCACTAAGTTTTTTTTCACTTGGGAGGAAACTGTCGTACTTGGAGAGAATCAATGCATATAAGGAGATAATACTCAAAGGTCCTCACAGATGGGTTCATGAACTCGCTGTTCTGCCATCTTCCGACCACCCTCCACAACCCACTGGGTTTGGAAGTTTCACAGATCTGCATTTTAATTGGACATATGCCAACCATTCTGAACTGTAATGCAGATAGAAATGTATCCATCTTTATTGATAAGATTATTCTCATGTTCGATGTACTCGGATTATTTAAGTTTTTTCATCCACACTGCCGATGGTGAACATTAAGTTCCATATCTGTATCAAACTGTTTGTTTATTCAATGAATAAGCCATATTGTGTCACGTTATAGAAAATTACTTGAAAAATTATACCCCATTTCTATTATTCATTGCTAGCAGTAACCACGTATTCTGTGTACATCAACGTTGACGATTTAAATTAAATGGCTCGGAAAGAGCCCTGAAGGCACCAGCTTGCATTGATGATTGTTGATTACAGTTTGATTCATGAGTATAATATGGACCGCGTTGGAGCTTGCCACGACTCGCAACCAGTATCGTCTGCATGATAACAGCGTTCCTGGATATTCCAGTATTTTGATTCCGTAAAAAAATGTATTTACCTTTTTTTCTTTCAGCGGTTTACCGTGTATCAATGGATGTATTCACTTTGGTATCATTTTATGACTCCCATAAAGTTTTTCGGTCTCTTTTTTTTTTTAACGACCGAGTTTTAAAGAAGTGCATGGGTGGGGGGGTGCCCTTCGACCCCACCAACCTCCTCCGCCGCTGCTTGGTGCTTTTTGTTTGCGAGGTTTCTCACGGCCAGCAGTGTTAATTTTTGGCCGAAATTACCGATGAAAATCTTCGTCAACGACGACTTACGAGTGGACCGAAATCCCCAAGCAGGGCGATGATTTGACGACTCGCCAAAGACCAGAGCATGAGTGGCGGTGATGAGACAAAATTTTACGAGTGAATGGAGATATGGACGAAGGTAATTCCGTAATGGTATTAGAGACTGGAGTGCCACCGGAAATGGTAATGTGGCGATATGTACAGTATATGTATCGGAAAAGATTTGCTGATTGGCTGACATGATGATACTGGGTGGGTAAAGCAGTGCGTGCTACCCCCACCGCACTAACATTTAATGACTAATAGTGTTTAACTAAATGTTTTTAACGGCTTTAGTCGACGAGACTAATAAAATAACTAAATTAAATCCTGTTTTATCACTTCTCTCTGTCTGTCGCTGCACCTTTTCAACTGACACAGCCCCCATCCTGTCCGATGTTTGATGTGTGGCTTCCACTCGGATTGTGATCTTGCTCTTCTCCTTGCACCTTCAGTTGCTTCCTCCACGACCATCCTTTGCAGCTGGTCACCATTAATCCTGATCACACGTCCAAAATATTGCAATTTTCCTGTATTTGCTTTGACGTAGCTGTAATTCATGGTCTTTGTCTAAATCCTGGCTGAAATTAACACTACACGCAACAGAAAATCCAGAGGAGGGCCACACCATACCCAAGCGAGCTCAAGGCCATGAAGAAGAAGCGGGACGATGACAAACAACGTTCCGAGGAGCCCCGTGACGCATCGGACAAGCGGTGCAGTGACGTGTCCATTCAGAGCCATAATTCCACAAGGGAGGCCCAGGAGAGGCCAGCCTCTCCGGCAGACGGGGCCACTGGTCCGGGCGACCACGTCGAACCTTCAAGACCTGAGCCTGGAGCAGCCTTTCAGATGGAGCAGTACGAAGAGGTGAGCAGTACATTGCACGTGCGCTCGCTTGTGTTACGTGATGAAGGCGTTGTTTTATTGTCGCTGACAATTGGGCATGTGCGAGAGATGTTTACAGATGTGTTTTATTCGTCACATTTTCAGACTGCAAATTTCACAGATTACATATTTGGGTAAAAATAGGCACATTTGCGCCCTACTGTGAATCTCCTGACTAATACCCACCTGTGAAATATAGCACCTTTGTGATAGCCTTGCACCATGAGAATGGCACAGATACCAAATGTACGGATGATTTCGTTTGATAAATCAGAAATGCGATTTCAACCAAGTCTCAACATTTTTTTGAGGATGGCATTATTACAGGTTGTTTGGCCAATCCCATCTCAAGGGGTGTTTTACGTGTGGGAGGAAACCGGAGTACCGGAGAAACTCCACACATGCAAGGGGATAACACCCAAAGATCTGTACAGACAGGTTCACAAAACCCATCCGATGTTTAATCGTAGTTCAGGGTCTGTGAACAACTTAAAAGTCTTGACCATCTCAAACCCCAGCACATTCGGGAGTCTTTCCTATCTATACAATCTACCAACCCATGCCTCTTCAAGCACTAGACTACAGGATGGTCCCACCACACACCTGGCTCCATAAATGTGGCACAATAGCCTCTTTTGATCAGACAGCATTGCAGTGTGTGTGTGCCACGCCTCTGACTTGGTGTGGATAATGCATGGCATGAGCGGTGCAGAATTAATCATAAATACTGATGAACGCAGGAACCTTCCGTCCGCTTTGCCGAAGACACCATCGACACGGAAGAAGAGGAGCCCGACGATGCTTGGGAGACAAAGCGGCTGATCCGCAAGGACACTCCGCACTACAAAAAAGGATTCAAAGTGGCCAAGCTTCCCAAGCCAGAGGTGGTGAAGGCACTTCTCAGCGGCAGTTACCAAGAGGTTGACGATGATGACGATGATGAGGAGGAGGAGGAGGATGGGGGAGAAGAAGATGGAGATGACGATGATGATGAAGAGGAGAGGGAGGAGGAGGAAGAGGAGAAGGAGGAGGAAACCGAGGGTGGAGACGGTGCGGGAGGAGCTTATGAGCGGAGCAGTGAGAGGGAGGAGGAGCAAGAGGCAGGGAACGAGAGAGGAGGCGATATGGAAGGAGCAATAGATGGGCGAGAGGTTGCGGAGGAGATGCCCTTGGCTGAAGAGGCCCTCAACAACAACGTATCCACACTGCAAGCTGTAAAGGTATGTTGAATATGAATATCACATTGTAGGGTTGGAGGGTGGTGGCGAAAGCCTGTAATCCAGCACTGGAGGCGACGGTTGGTAGATTACACCAATGTCCTTAAATTCCTTTCCCATGGGCGTTGAAATTGCCATATCCTGGCTAGCCAGGAGATGACAGTACACTAAGTATGGACTAATCTCCACCTGTTCCATCTGCATGAGATTGTGTTGCCCGCTCGCACACATGAGTTTTCTCTGGGTCTTCCTGTTACCTCCCACAAGTATCAGCTCTTCAATTGGCCAATAACACCTGAATATATAGAGGATGCCGGAGCTATGGGGGTGAATTTGGCACCGGTTCAAACCCTGGCTGCGGCCTTTACCGCTTTGCTGTGGTTCCTCACGCTTCTGGATTGTTCTCTCACGCCTCTGGATTGTTCTGTCACTTCGAGAGCGAGTGACTACTGCGCGGTGCTTTTCAATTTGGATTTAATGCCGTTGTTATTATTTGTGTGCAAGAGTTACTGAATTGGGAAAATGTCACAGCACGTGACCTATATAAATAAACTGATACGGCAGGATATTTTAAAAAAGCTTTAATTACCTTTTACCATCGACCACATATTGGAGGTTATGTCCATCTTTATTTCCTTCCGATCATCAAGTGATGCTGATATAATTCCAATGAAAAAAATATGAAGGGACTGCATTGGTGGTAGTTCGAGTGAAAATAATAAGTAACCCACCACTTTCATCGCCAGCATATCAAGGCAGTTTTATTGATGGTGATGAGAATTTTTGACTGGTGCTGTCATTTCCAGGAATACACGTGCCACCGTTCCCGCACGTAATAAGCGACAACTGGCAATTCTCCCACTTTCTGGCGTTGACTTGGAGGGGAGTCCAGATTTGTTTTTATCCGATGGAAAAGTGCTGAGCGTATTTTTTTCCTACAAGCATGGACTTAACATTGTGCTGAGGCTGCTTTGCCAGCCTTGAGTCCCTGTTGTACCGGCTTTACATTGAAATGCCAACTCATGAAGGCTAAATGGAGTTTAAATATATCCAAGTTTGTACGGCAGTTATGAAGCCTAACTGAGCCATGATTGAACTCGCCTGTATCTATATTCCTGGTGTCTTCTGTTAAAGCGGAGTGAGCGAGTGCACGTGTATTTTGCGTGCGTACGTGTGTGTGTGTGTGTACTTGTTTATTACTTGAAATATAATTATTAATCCCACGTTTTGATGAGCTTTTGACTTGAGCTGTGATCTGCTAATTTCTGCGGGTGGCTTGACTGACGGGCATGCCTTGGGCTCCTCTCTATGGTAACAGGGGGTTTCATTTGATCTAGCCAATAACCTGCTCATCGAGCCTGCCCGCCTTGAGGAGGATGAGGTCTGTACCGCTCGCTTTCCTTACCGCTCTCTCCTGCTGTTCACTCAACCCTACTGTACCCTCTCCCTGCTCTGCTCGGTGTCGTTGCTTGCTTCATACTAAGCCAGTGGTTCCCCAACCTTTTGCCTGCTTCTTGTGTACCCCTTGCCATTCCCGTCAATTGTCCGCGTACCCCTACTGGCAATATACAGTCCTTGCAAGTAACTTTAATAATAACGCTGTATAAAGCATGTTTGAATCACATTTGCACGTAATTCAACACCTAAGACGTGTCGTTAATACTTAATAACAAATCACAAAATATTGACACTTTAATATTTAAACTTTACTAAGATTAAAAAAAAATTGTTGGTAAATAAAAAATAAACTATAAAAATATTTTTCTTTTTACTCCTAGACAGTTTATACAGTCACTTACCATCGTGATGAAGCAGAGGGGAGATGTGGAATGGCTGGAAACAACGTCTCTTGGACTCTTGTGAATTTGTAAAATAGACTTAAAACTACGCTTGGTGAACATAAGGAAGAAGAACACTAGCGGAACCTCTGGCAAGGTTTCCAAGCACACTTATTTTTCTGAATTTTATACGACAGATGAGTCCAATAACTTTATTATTGCTAGTGTACACACGCAGAGCAGCACTGCTTGGCAGCCCCACGTGACCATACCCCACGTGATGTGCAACATGTGAATTAGCTTTTGTTAAACCCTCTGGGGATGTCACGTTACCTCTCGGAGATACTCGCGCTACAGGTTGGGAACCACTGTACTAAACTCATTTAACAATGGAGCGCAATACCTTGTTGTGCTATCGTCATTTAGCTTCACATTAACTCGCCAAGCTTGCCTATGCCTTTGTGTTGTCTAAGCTGTTTAACCCCATTGTGTTTCTTCTGTTGTATGTACTGTGTTCGTGTGCTGTTTATTGAACAACAGAACGATCATGGATCCCGTTCCCTTAATGTTCTTAATCGTGAACGTGTGTTCTTTCACCCTCCACGCTGTCCTGTCTGTTTTCTTGCTCATTATTTCTTTGTTCGCTGTAACACTTAACACATTGTCTCCTGTATATCGACCATGGTTCGATCCTGGTTTTAATTCAATTTGTTTTTAATAGTTTACTAATACAGTAACTAACAAATTCAACATACCATTTAAAAAAAATTCATTCAAACATAGATGAGGTTTAAACCTAATGAACATTTTTATGGAATGATGACCACTGTGTGTTGCATTGATGTGAAGTAATGAGCAGCGTGCTTCTTCTTAATGTTGTCTTTTAGATTAAAATCGTAGTGTACAGAAAAACAGGTGGCCTGGGCATCAGCATTGCTGGCGGGAAGGGATCAACCCCTTACAAAGGGGAAGATGAGGTACCACTCGACCTGGTAACACAGCATACACATCCTCAATTGCATAAACAAGATAAAGGCAAAGAACCCCCGGATTGCTTACATAGATTGGCTCAGGTCCCATCCTCCACCGATGATAGCCATGGCCTAGAATGGAACTCGTATTGTTGGGTTCGTAGTGCGGTATGCTAACTTCTGCGCCACTCCTCAAACACCCACACACAGTATTAAAATAAAAAGACCCCCCCACCCATATAGCCTACATTGACTGTTTAACGAAGCGCTGTTGCGAGCACCTTGTTAAGCTGGCACACGATGACATGGTGTGGTCAACTCCAGGGTCAGTCACCTTTGTGTCCCCAATGCTGATGTTTGCACATCGTACCAGGTGCTCATTTATAGTTCAGTCTACCTGGGGGAGGCCCGGGACAAATTTTTATACCACACGCCACTGATGCCGGCCATGGCTGGGAATCGAACTCAGGTTGCCGGGTTTAGTAGCGCAGTGTGATATTATTACGTCACCACTGCCCATACATAAACACGCACACACATGCCTCTGTCACCAACCGGGCCCACTGTGCACATGAGACGCCATCGCATTTGTCCGCGCCGCCCACCGTGGACCGGTTATGGAGATGTGGATCTGTGTGTCTGGCGTGCCGTGTGCGTGCCGAACGCAGGGAATATTTATTTCACGGGTGTCGGACGAGGGGCCGGCAGGGATCGCCGGTGTGCGTGTTGGTGACAAGCTGCTGCAGGTGATTTAATGTGCTGCCAGCCGTTTTAATTCAACACGTACGTCCTTTAGCCACTCGTAATCCAAAGTGTGATCATCCAGGTGAGGCCGCGTCGTTGAGCAATACTTCTCAAGCTTTCGGCACGGGCTGCCGCGGGCTTGTTCGAGAGTTCAACATCCTCAGGACCTCGGAGGATGCCAAGACTAGCGCGTGTCGAAAGCATGAGAGAATGAATGCTCAACACAAGGCCTAACTCGGAAAATCGCACTTGGATTGGTGCCCACTTGTGTTGCTTCCGTAACAGCTGTTGCCGCTACAGTGGTTTCCACTTTCAACGATGATTGGTTATGTATGTCAAATGCATCCTGCTATCAACATCATCATAATTTTGATTGATTGAAAGATATTTGTCTGCTCTTTTCACTCGAGAGAAAAAAAAGGATGAGCAATGCACCAAAAATATATTTTTTTAAATCCCCTTTTCAAAACGCAAGTTTATATTTTAAGATGGTATCCTCTAACCTGGAGAGTGGGGAAAAAAACATTCAACAGAGAGAACTTACAGCCAGGCAACCGCTGCCATTTGCGAGTTGCAAAGCAATAGATCTTGAGCAAATGCCAGGAAGTGTGCAACAGTGCGTGTATCAACAAGGCAAAGAAAAAAATGGAGATTGCACACCATTCATCATCCACCCAATGTGCCGAATGGGTGACAACTGTTGACATGGCTGCAGTTGTTGGCCACAGTTATCTTCATAGCAATACAGCTCCAAAGGTGCCACCAAAGCTCGTAGAGTAAAATAGCTTCGCTTTGTAGGTGATTGAATAAGCAGATTTGACCACAGTTTAAAGAGGTTAAAGCCTTGTCCCAGGAGGCAGTAATATATAGCGAGCAGGATAGCCTTATATTCTTGGTTCTTTCGGTAAAGTCACGTAGAAGGGAAACAATAATACAAATTTAAAACAATAAGTCTCACGACGTTTCGACTGCAACACAAGCAATCATCATCAGGTGTGAAAACCACAGCAAGAAAATGGTTTTCACACCTGATGATGATTGCTTGTGTTGCAGTCGAAACGTCGTGATAATTTTATTTTATATTTGTATTATTTTATTGTGTCCCTTCTACGTGACTTTACCGAAAGAACCAAGAATATTAATCCCTGCAGTCAAGAAAGCTTTAAATCAGGATAGCCTTGTTGGCAGGTTTTTATTTATTGGTGGTCCTGCAAGCCACTGGTACAGTGTAGTTAGAACGACCACCGTGGTGAAGCTGCACCATGTGGTGTTCATTTCCTAGGTCCTGGAGCGATATTGATCATCATGAGTCGAGTTGACACTTGGTTTGGTATTTGAACTCGTGAACTCAAACTGGGGAGCACTCTGCTCCACTTACCTATCGAGCTGTACCCCAGTCTTTTCGGCTGGGACACCCAGAATTCCTGGTCATCTTTATCATCATCATCTGTCCCTTCAGAATAAATTCCCGCCACGGTTCTCTGCTTCTATTTCCTTCTCCTTTCTGTCCCACCACCAACTCAGGGCTCATTCTGGAAACTTGTCCAAGCCAATGTAGGCATATTTCTTCGTCCGAGAAGGTTGCGTGTACTCCACAACCGTTTTCTTTATCATTGTCCAATGGTCTTTGATACTCCTAGAATAAACAATGTTATATCACCCAAATTAATAAAATAGCACTGAAAAGAAGATACGATAAAAACCGAACTGCTCTTATTGTAGTTAAGAGTAACGATTTGTTTGTTTATTTTTTTGAACAATTCCAAAGGGGAAAAATATATTTTTACCTGGAACTTTTCTCTGCTGGAGATTGCCTCCTGCCTGGCTTCTCAGCCCCGTAATAGTGGGGCACATTTCACCTGTGTGTGTTTGTTAAAGTGGTTAAACAAATGACAAATTACTTGGTGGAAGCAGCTGCATTGGCAGTGGTGCACAAGCACAGTTAACAACAGCACTCAAGCGCTGTCTTCTGGACAGACCTGTTTCTTCACCTGAAGAAGGCTACTTGTGTTGTGGCCGAAACATCGTGAGAATTTTATTTTATTATGTTTTATCTTTATTATTTTATTTCCATTCTACGTGACTTTAGCGAAAGAACCAAGAAGATGAATCCCTGCAGTCACGAAAGCTTTAAATCGAAATTTAACCAATAAAAACTCAACATATTCATGTTTCACAATGTGGCCTTAAAATAATAAAAAAAATAGGCAGACATTTTGAACGATGGCCCTTCATAGCACATGCTTAGAGGCCAGAGAGAGTGGATAAGAGTTGGAGACGGAACTTTACACCATAGGACATTGCCCGTAACGCCACCTGTTATCCTTTTGAAGGCATTGTTTATTGACAAATTGTGTTTAGTGTTTGTCTTTTGTGCCTGTGCCCCACTGCCAGCGTGCAGCATCGCCAAATAATTTGTTTATGTTGTTACATGCCCCCCCCGGCTGGCTGTGTAACCCGGGCCGTTTGACCTGAGTTTCAAGCTTCATTAATGAGAAAAAAAATAATGGAAAGCTACCGCTAAGCTCTCCATCATAGCACCATCATTATAACGGCATTACATTGACGTCATCAGCCTGATATACAAAACATTCACTGTTTCTCATTATGCCGGTGTTTTTTTCGATGCCGCTGGCTTGTTTGGTTTTATAAGCAAGTCCTCAACAAACACCATGGAGTCTATTCAGCGCAGCACGTAAAACGAATTGTGCCAAATAATAATAATAATCGTGCCCTTTTTTCCAGAAAATTTCCCATAGTCTAAAACACTCTTTTCAGGTGGCGTCTGAATTGGTATTTTTGGCCAGTTTCATGAATGAGTGTTTGGCTAGGTGCATTGGCGAAAACTGGCGTACCCAGAAAAAATGTATTTGAATGCAAGGGGATAACGTTTGAAGCGCTATAGAGATCGATTCTTGAATCGTTTGCTCTCCGACCATCTCTTGGACCCTCGCAACCCAAGCATGCAATACATGGTATTTTTACCATCTCAGTACTGAGCAATACTCAGCCCCTCTTAGCTTCCATTCAGGATTGTTTGCTTATAACTAGAGCTGATCTGTGAGGTTATTAGAGTGATCGATTACTCTGCTGACTGCCACTTCGATTACTAAATTAATTTGATAACACGAAAATAGAAACGTTATAGTCTCACCTCTGTTGGCGCCACGTGTCCAGCACGCTTGAACAGCAGATACTGGGCAGTGGTCTGTGACGGCGTCGGCATCGTTAGCCGCGTCGGCATCGTAAGCCGCATCACATTGGGTCTGGGTCATAGGGGGATTCCTGCCTTCGGGATACAGGATCTTGGTGTCCAAGCGATAGGTTAAACGATTCATTATATTAATCGACTCATTTTGCCAGCTCAATTTGTATCAAATTCTCTGGATTGTAAGATGCTTTCAAAGAGTAAGACACACTGCAAATATGGTCACACATCTTTTGGATTGTCTGACAACCCCAGACAATCCATCAGTGAAAAATTGTAATCCGAAGAATACAGTAACACGCTGAACTCCAGTCACATGTATGCATTATGTTGAACTTCTTTCACACCCTACGTAGCCAACCATGTTAATTGGAGGTGTGGGGGAAGGACAACAAACTAAAGACAAAAAGCAGTTATTTTTGTGTTTAGTTTGTCACGATCACCTTTCGGCCAGGGCCGTCTATTTGGGGGGATCTTAACGCATTGCAAGTGACACCCTCTTCCTCACAATGCAGGTGAATGGCGTGGTGCTGGTGGATGCCGAGCACCAGGAGGCGGTGAGCGCTCTGAAGAACAGCGGCAGCGTCATGGAGCTGCTGGTGCTACGGGAGCGCATGGTGGAGCCCGAGCACGCCGTGAGCGTGGCACGGCCGCCCCCTCCGCAGTCCCCTTCGCTGCCGCCGACACCCACGCCGCAGCCGCCACCGCCGCCGTCGACGCCGGCGGCCACGGCCCCTGAAGCGGCGGCGGCGGCGGCGGCGGTAGCGCCGAAGCTGACGACGCCGGCGCAGCCCCCCCTGCGCGAGCGCCGTTCGGCCGTCACGTTCGCGCCCGAGCCGGAGCCCACCGTGATGCGAGAACAGCTCTCCGTGCGGCTGCTGAGGAACGAGAGAGGGCTTGGCTTCAGCATCGCCGGCGGCAAGGGGTCGACGCCCTTCAAGGGCTCCCACAGCGTACGCTTGCGCCGCGGTGTGGGATGGATTTCTCCAAATAGGCCGATCTGTAGCCACAATCCTGTCCGTGAATACAACCCCATTCCCTTTCTCATAAACGGTCTTCCTGCTGCGGTGTTAACGGTCCACACACTGGACTTGCGATCCGGATGTCACCGGTTCGATTTGTTCTCCCTCGGCGATGATTGACCCAGTGGATCATACGGCAGTATACACGCTTACACCACAGTCGATCGGCAGCTACGTGTGGTGGGAGTGAAGGGGGTGGGTCCGCATCTGTTCCAAGATGTCTGTTCATCTGCAGTACTCTCCTCCAGAACAAGCAGGTGTATTAGTATTTGAGTGACTGCATGTGCTTGGCTGAATAGAGGATTGATGTTGCTGCAGGCCGACCTAATCTGTTCTCGCGAATGCCGAGCGCTCCATTGTTTTGTATAGTAGGAAGATTGCAATGACCTTTGGTGAATAGTTGTTTTTGTGTGTTCCTGTTTTCTTGCACCCAGTAATATATATACTTCAAAGCTGTAACTGATAGCAACTTTGCATTGCATCAACAATGTATCTATTGTATATGCTTTGTTAAAAATTGCATAATGTCAGTCACAAATACAAGTGTCCGCATGACTCATAGGCTGCAGATTTTATCTTTGGTGAACCTTGCACAACACGTTCTCTCTGCTAGGGTGCCTGGTGGGAATAACAGGCCAATGGGATTTACAATACACTTCTATAACACCTGCAGACTGACCATAGTCTTTAGACCGACATACAACCCGTACATTTATATAGTATAGATAACATGGGACCTACAGAGCAGCTAAGGACCAAGAGCCTATCATATGACCCGGAGATTAAAATAGGATCTATAGAATAATATGACCTGCAGAGAAACCGGGCCAATCGACTTGTTACGTTCTGACCCATCCCTCCTGGACATCTGTGAAAAAGAGCTTCATAGCTAAAAGGATTTCACCAGTATATATAAATATATTCTGATTCTGACATAGGACCTATGGACTAACGCAGCACGTTTCTCCCTCTTAGGGAATCTTCATTTCAAGGATAGCGGAGGGTGGCACGGCAGATCTGGAGGGCACGATGGCTGTTGCGGATCGCGTTCTGGCTGTAAGTATTTCTCTCCTCTGCTGCTGCGAAGCAACGTCCACGGTCTCCTTACCCGGCCTGAGGGGACCCAGCGTGAATTTGGCCCTTTAGATAGCTCAATCCCAGTGGCCTAACTGCAACTGCACCCGGGCACCAGGCTACAGAGGGGGGAGAAATTGGATGGGGGAGGGGGTGGGCTTCATTTAATTTCTTGCACCAAGGCCCATGCAAACTACACTGTCACTGAGACCAATCGAGATGTGTAGACCCCGTAGATTTGCATGACATCCCATAGGCTTACCTACACCGACCTGTGAGGGTTCTCAAGGGTTGCGAGCTCAATTCGAGATCAGTTTTTATTGAAAAAATAATCATCTGTTTATCATTGTGGTGAACATAGCTGCCTCTCGTGGCTGCAGGGGTCACTTGAGCCCATTGCATGGTGTCGTATGCAAATAATAATATAAACAAAACTTTTTTTAATGTGGACGCTATGCGACGCACGTATCACGAGCTTGAGAATCAATATCGATGTTACATCTCTTGTAATGGCAGTCATAAATCATCGGCGCACGTTGGGCATTTTGCACGTGCATTGTAAGCGGGAGGTACTTTTAATGCTCTTGCACTAACGTATTATAAACAATATTCCTTAATAATATGGGCACTTCCAGCAGGGTTCCCTGGTGAAACACTGTTGAGAAGTATTTGTTGCAAGAGTGAGCCTGTAATAAATACTTTGCCATATGTTCTTACACATTGCATAAAATAGTTATATAATCCCTAGACTTTTAATTATAATTGAAAATGATTTTTATTCATATATGCCAGCATTGTTTAAATGTTTAACTTGTGAAAGTCAAACTGGGTGTGCTGACGATATGCAATGGCATTTTCACTTCTTGTAAAAGGCAAATAGGGTGCTTTACTAGAACTCGCCCACGCTTCCAGAAATCAGCCCGTAAATGCTAGAAGATTTTGAAACTAGCCCGTGAATATTGTCATGTGTTTGCAGCAAAATTAGGTGAACTTAAGCATGTCGAAAAAACTTTGCATCAATACAGACATACATTCATGATTTCAGATTAGTTTTGGTGTAAAGACCGCATTCATTCATAGAATGTATTGTTTAATCAAATACTGTGCCCTAAGCACAGTATTAATTTCTGAAAATGATACGGTATTAATTGCCGAAAATTACACAGAACGTATGTGATTGTAGGCGAATGGAGACAACAAATGTATACAAACAAGACGACTAAAAATGAGAAAAAACATGGCATGGTAAAAAAAACAAGACAAAAACTCTTAAATTGAACTGTCATTGGCAAATCTTTACAGCCCTCTGTGTTAAGGTCTCCGGATCAGCCTCGGTGCTGATGGGCACGTCACGTCGGTGGATCCAGCGCGTTCACTTTCATACTAACTGCCTGATGTTTTGAATTTTTTTTTGTTCCTCCATCCTTTTTGTGTTTTTTTTTTTCTCCCCTCACTCGTCGCATGCCACTAATGAGCACTTTGCCCGACTGTGGGTTGGTTGGGGGGGGCGGTGGGAAGGGTGCTTGGTGGTGGGACTCGTAACAGCATGCCGTCACGGTGGTGGGTGAGGGGGGGCGGGGGGGTAAGCGGTGGTACTGTCTGGCCAGTGCTGGCTTCTGTCTGCACCCTGCTCGGTAAGGCTCTTAACCTCCACAGCCGGAGTCTCGTCCTCCCTGAGAATGGGGAATCCCAGCTGTCCCCCCCCCCCCGCCTTTGCGTGGGGGTGTTGGCTGGGTGGTGGCGGCGGCGACCCCCTTTCTATCAGCTCTTGAATTACAGGGTGGGCACATTTTTGAGAGGTGGAGCATCTGACAGGCATGCAACGGTACATCGATTGAATCCATTAAAATTGACGCTTGCACGTGTGATACACGCTTAAAATGACGTGCGTGGGGAGTCTGTGCTCTTAATTTGGTATAGGTTGTAGGCTTCATCAACCGGCACTGACCAGTGTGGTGAATTACGGCCAGATAACCTCCCGTGACCTGCCCGGTGCTGTGAGACCTTCATCCTTTGAATAGATTGACAAAAGAGGCTTCACATCTACATGGGTTTTTTTTTATAGAATAGCTCTCCAACGGTTTTTTTCAGTTGTACTTTGTAATGTTTGGCATTACGATGTCTGTCGTTTCACTCCACACACGGGGAGCTTCTTCTCAGGGACGAAACCTCGGATGTTATGCCAAACAACAAGAAGTACAATCTGAAGACGCATCGGAGAGCTTAGAAGCTCACAGCTACTCGAGACGCTTACATTCCCCGCAGTGTTAAGCAAAAATAACTCGCTCTTGAATTGAATCGCGACCCAGAATCGTTGCATACTTGGCAGCTGCCATCCACTGACAGGGATGCGTGTCCACCATGCTTCCTCGCTCTCACCGAGTCACGTTCACTTCAGCTGTGGAGGCTGCACAGGGTGCTTCGTCTCCAGACACAAGAGGATTTAATTTTATGAAACGTTATTTCTTACTTCCTTAAAGGCACTCTCTTTCCCTTCCTTTAAATGTACTAACCGTCTGAAATTTTCTCTTCCTCTGGGATACTGCCCGCTGCTCCGGTACGATGAGCCAGTTAATTAACAGCGTGCATGTGAGTGCCGCCTTAATGTTGGCCAGACGATTAATCTACTAATGGTGGCATTTATTAATGCCCTGCACTGGCTTAATACCGGCGATTGCGATGAACAGCTGGATAGGACCTGTCTGAGTGCGCGCGGATCCCTACCAACAGATTAGCCCATTTTTCACGATCGTTATGTCAACGTTGCTGCTGATAGCGCTCAAAATATATATATATTTTTTAATCGGGACAGATTTGATCAGAAGTGGTGCTCACTTCACATTTCTTTGCTGAGCACATTTTGAGAACCTGCAGCATTCGTGTTCAGACCCTATAATGTAGACATGCTGTCGGTTTTCCTTATACGTGTGATTTTTATCTTGCATTACGTATACACGGAAAGAGTTGTTTCCCTCTTGTTGCTGGTTGGCTTGGCTTACCCGGCACGGTTTGTGCACCTTCTCTAGATCAATGGCGTAGACATGACAGAAGCCAGGCATGACCAGGCGGTAGCCCTTCTTACCTCCTCCGCGACCTCAATCACAATGCTGCTCCAACGGGAACAGCTGGAATACATCCAGCCAGGGCTCGTGGAGAGCAGGCCGCTGGGCCAGCTAGGCGGACAGCTAGATGGCCAGCTAAAGGCCCAGCCAGACGACCAGACGGACGGGCAGTCGCCGGTCCTACCGGACGGCCTGCCGGCCGGGAAACCGCCAGGACGCTCGTGCAGCCCGCCGCCTCAGTACTCGAGCTGGGAGCTAGAGAACGGCCAGACCAGGCCGGAGAGCCCACCGCCCGGCTACCAGGCACAGGGGCACAAACCCCCAGGCAGGCCCAGCAGCCCCCCGCCCGGGTACCCGCTTAGCCCGGACGAGGAAGATGGGGATGAAGAGGATGGGGAGGATGTTGATGGGGAGGATGGGAATGGGGAGAGGGGGGAGGAGGACGAGGAGGTGAAGCTCGGCGACGAGGAGCCAGCGGACGTGGAGCCGGGGAGCAACCACGTGTCCGAGCAGGAGGAGCATCCTTACCCCGTTGAGGTGCGGTCGTGTAAATCCACGCACGCGGAGGCTTTATCGAGAAGTTTGATTTTTGTTTTGCTGATGCTGCCAGGTTAGACACATGAAGACATAATTGACAGCATCACAATCATAAGCGTTACCAGCCAGATCGGTTCACTGCTGGTTGAAGGGCGCCCCAAGCAGTAGCCATCTTCCACTGCCCTGCAATATAACAATCTATCTAGCACTTGCAGGTGCAGGAGCATTTCAATGATGCTATTCAGGAAAGCCTCACAATCTCAAGAGGCATATTTAAGCTTGTATTGCATTCGGATTTGCCGCTTTGTTCATTAAGTGTGTTGTGCATGGGAGGACATTGGAATCGCTTAATGAAACATACACATTCGATGCGCTAAGACTCCAGAGTCCACAGAGATTGGTTTACGAGCCTGCTTGCTGTGCTGTTATATCCTAGCCACCTCAGTCCAGAGTGTTTTTGGAGTTTCACACATCTGTGTGACCCACAAAAACTTGATGTTTTATATGTTATATATTTATGCAGAAAAGCCTCACTGGGTCTCGATGTCTTCATGAGGTGTCCCACATTGAGATGCTGTTTGCATAGTTCCATTGAAGAGGAGTGTTATGCATGTTGGAGAATACAACTGGTGTACCGAGAGAAACCCCATGCATTCAATGAAATAACACTCGAGGGTCCTTGTAGATGTGTTTACGGACACATCTATTGGCCATCTGTTGTTATCTGTCCATCTCCCACACTAGCTGGTTTGGGGGGTTTCACAAACATGTGTGATCCACCACCAGCCTTTGCATCAAGAGCATTTAATTACTCTTGCAAGCCCCCCGTGTCTGGTAATAAGAGTACCAGACACCCCAAACATATATTGTGAATGTCCACTTGTATAGTGGCTAATGTTCTACCACCATGCTTGTGTTGTAGCCAATTGAGAGTAATGTTGAATTGTAGGAAATCGTGTTGCTCAAGACTGATGGACCCCTGGGCTTGAGTATAGTCGGAGGCAGCGACCACTCCAGCCATCCCTTTGGCATCGACAAGCCTGGGATATTCATCTCGAAGGTAAAGAAAGGGCAGTATACATCTGTTGTGATCTTTTTTTAATTGCGTTAAAACTAAGGTTGCAAGCGTGTTATTTATTAGCCTGAAACGTATAGCTGTAAAATGTTTACTCTTGAATTTGTTATTAATGTTAACTTTGCCGGGATGAAAATATTTGATCTTTTTCATGCAGATTTGTATGATGGTGTTCAACAATTTCCCATGAATCTTGTGCCGTACTTTGCATCTCAGGTCTCGATAACAAAACAGGCTTTACTCTCAACGGATTCTCGCCGGACAATAAATAACGTTCATTACAAGTCTTGGTATAATCGTACCTTTCGTTTTATAAATCCCGAAGCTGATCGATTATTGGCGACGTGACGCTGTGCGGTTTCTTAGATAATAGCCGACGGCCAGGCGGCCAAGACGAACATGAGGGTTGGCGATCGCATCCTGTCGGTGAATGGGCTGGACGTGCGGCACTGCACGCACCAGGAGGCGGTGTGCGCGCTACTCGGGGGCAAACCAGCCATCCACATGTTCGTGCAGCACGACCCGCCGCCCCTGGGCATGCAGGTAGCTTTGGACGCCTGGGTGGGGAGGGGCACGCTCTTGGTTAGCACCAGGCTTGTCTGTCATGAAAGGCAAAGGTGCGGACCCTCCAAATTGCTTGCTCGCACTCCCCCCCTGCTGGCAGAAGGGCTTCTCTTAGCGAAGTGGTTCTTCACCTCCACTGCAGCCTTGCACCCCTTTGGTTCTCAAGCGTTAATGAAACAAAGTAGTTGTACGTATGTGGCCGTGCTTAATCTGTGTTTTCGATGACTTACCTTCTAAAAAAAAATCTGGCATGTTTCGCACCCCCAAAAAGAGCATCTCGTACCCTTAGGGCGTGCGTGCACCCCAGGTTAAGAACCACTTCCCAAGAGCGATATCTCGAGTTCCCCCTCTAGACAGTATTTGGTCTACTCTTCTACTAGCTTTCACAATGTAATGATTATCACGATCGCAAAAAAAAAAATTGTATTTCACTTTTTGTATTAGATTTTTGTGCTTTTCTGTTCTACCGGTACAAATAAAGTTTACTTAAACGCGTTCAAGTGCAGATCACTCACCATAAGCCAGCCATAAGAATTTCTAATCAGTACAAGGTATAAAACTGTCGACCCCACGGCATGCCACAGGAAGGGAATAGAGTGTTGCATAAAAGGGCAGTCGGGGCATGATGCTAATTGTTTTATTGTGAAATTTGATATTTTATGGTATCATGAAAAATTATATCTAGTCCATGGGCCATAGCAGAAATTTGAACCACCTTAGGTCAAAACATGTAAGTCATATCGATGTATTTCTATCGCGACTAAGAGTGAATTACTTGAACATATTCATTTTAAATGGTTATCACATAACTCACTATTAGTGTGCCCCATAAAGCAATTAGAACCATTAAAGTTATGCCACCGCAGGCGGTACCGGCAAGAGAAACATCTAGCCTGGGCTCATGGACCAATGGTGCCGACCATATTTGTCTTCTGTGCAGAGGATCTGCAGGATCTGGCTGATGGTGGAAACCATTGGCAAGGTGCAGTGGGTTATTGTTGGTGTTCTTAGGTGTGTTTTCAGTGGAGCTCGCTGTCGTTGTTGCCTTGGCAGGAAATCGAGATTGAGAAGAGGGTCGGAGAGAAGCTGGGGATGAGCATACGTGGAGGCGCACGGAGTCACCCGGGTAACCCGTTTGATAGCGGCGACGAGGGTATCTTCATCTCTCGGGTGAGCCCGACCCCTGATCCCCCCCCCCACCCACCCACCACCCCTTCACCCCCGCCGTAGTCGTGTTTCCCACCCCAGGTGACGACTCTGGGTGGATGTATTGATGGCGTGTGAGCTGGAAAAAACATGTAGTGTTTCCGTCGCCGTTCACGGGGCAAATCACCAAGGCGATGTGTTTTGACCGTTTAATCAAACTTTCAATAACGAATGTTTTGCAGTGAAAGCGCTGGTGCGTGTATTTACTACAGTGCCTCTGCGAGCTGGTGACCTATCCCCGCTTTGTACGCTTGCTCGCTAGGCAGCGACGTGGCTCAGCAGTAGTGCGTTTGCCGCTCGTTGCAGAGTTTCACGGTTGCGGCCCCGCGGGCCACCTTGGTTAAAACTGCGGGTGTATTAACCAGGGGAAAGAAAATACGCGCCGTTTACTCTACAGTGGACGTTAAAGATCCAACAACGGCGTCTTTAGCAGGAGCGGGCCATTGTGTGCCGGCGTCGTGGTCCAACTTGACAAAATTTGAAAAACTACCCACAAATGAATCGAGTGGCATTTTACTTGTATATCATAATCGGAATATTTATTGAGACAGAAGGAATCCGATGAGCTTTGAAGCTCTTTTTCACAGATGTCCAGTCGGGGTGGGTCAGAAAGTTACAACAATAAACAATACAAAAACAGACAGGAGTGCAAAGTATAGGAAAGGTAAGCAAGTCACTAAAAATAAATGAATACAAATAAAGTATATAAGCTCAAGTTACAAGTTCCCCCCCCTACCCCACATTGGCAGCCCACAGAGCTTGGGCAATTGTTGGTGCCGATTTTAGGCTGTCTTCCAGCTTGTTTGTAGTTTCCTGCCCGAACATGCTCGATAGCCTGAACGGCCCCCCCTCTCCTTAGTAGTAACCTCTGATGCTCTGCTGAGAGTGGCATGAAATGTACTGACTTATGTCATTTGCACGGTTGGCTAAGTACGGTGCGAAAGAAGTTCAACATATCTACATTTGCTTTTGCAGATCAACAGCTCGGGAGCGTGCGGCCGCGAGGGACAACTGCGTGTGGGCATGCGGCTACTGGAGGTGAACGGGCAGTCCCTGCTTGGCGCCACGCACACGGAGGCGGTGCGAGCGCTGCGCTCCGTGGGCGACAAGCTGGCGGTGCTCGTGTGCCACGGCTACGACGCTAGCGCCGCCAAGGAGGCATGGAAACCCCCCCCCCCGTCCCCCCCGAACCCTCCTCCACCGTCGCCCCCTCCCAGCACGGCCACGGCGGCCGACTGTTCTGTTGCAACCGAGGCGCCCGTGCACTCGTGTGCTGGCGTGTTATGGTCCAGCTACTTTTTTTTTTTAGCAGAGGAGTGGAATGGATGATCGGTAGAGCCATCGATTACTTATTAAGTGATTGATTATCCCAGCTGTGGTTCAGAAGTCTTCCTAAGGATTCTGTGTAAAAAAAAAAATAATCTTAACTGCCCGTGAAGCGCAGTGAGGGGTTCGCCCCCTGCTGGGTTCACAGTGCTATGCCACTGTGTGCAGTTTGGCACCTGTACAGTAGTACCATTAGCCAGTCCATGCTACAGAAGCTCTATTTGTCAGTAATTGGTGGACTGGTGAATGGCAGGTGTGAGTGTGCGAGTGCTAAGTGTTCGTGCCGAGTGCTGAATGTCAGATGAGGAGTGGTGTTTCAGCAGTAATTGTGATTGAGTGTTCATGTAAGTGGTGAGTGTCAGGTTTGGTAAGTGTGTACGGGGTGTCTGGTGAGGTGGTTAGTGAATATGGCGAGTGGTTTCATATTTGTGGATTTTTGTTGAGTTCCTGGTGAGTATCCTGTAAATTTGGAGTGGTGAGTTGGTGAGGGGTGAGTCGTAAACATGCGGTGAGTATAAGTGGTTATTTTTAATGGTGAGTGCCTGTTGAGTGACAAAGTGTCAGGTGAGTGGGGAGGATCCGGTGAATGCTGAGTGTCGTGTGGTTGATGATTGTCTTTTATCGAGTGTGATGTGTCATTATCCTGTTCATACAATAGGCTGCCCTCTTTTTTAAGTAATTGAGATTGGATAAGTGAGTGCTGCATTAGGGCCTGTTCATATCTGGCTGTCGTTGGTTTGAATGATATTTTTCCAATTTAATGCATGTGTTACTTTTCTCATTATGACACTTCAGAATTAATATGTCTTGGTTGGATGTTTGCTGTCATTAAAATACTTATTTTCCATCTTACTTCACCTATATACTATTAGATGCAATCGAAACGCTGCACGAGGTCATGTTTTACATATCACGTACGCAGTCGTATAACAACATAGTGAGCCCTTTGGGGGAATGAATAAGGCAGCTTGTATTTTGATTTAAAGCTTTCGTGACTGCAGTAATTCATATTCTTAGTTTTTTCGGTAAAGTCACGTTGAAGAGAAACAACAAAATAACAAAATATATATAAAACAATAAAAAATTCTCACGACGTTTCGACCATAACTCAAACGGTCATCATCAGGTGTGTCGGTTTGCATAAATTTATTTTTAAAACGGCACATTTATTTATTTATAAAAAACGTTGGCGTCACGCGCAGCGATTGGCAGTTTGCCCAGGACTAGTCCATCTATTTTTTTGAAAAGAGGAGGGGGGAGACGAATTTTTTTATAATGTATGCTGTCTGAAAGCCACTGTAAGCGTGAACAATCAATCAAGAACTGAAATGATTTATCAAATCTTTCCAATGATTGCTAAGATAGAATCCATCTTCTCGGTTGAAATTGTCTCTGTGCTTGTATATGTGGATAGCCTCATGAACGAATCTCTCATGGAAGCCAGATGGCTTACAAAGAACCTCCGTCTTGGAAAAGTCAATGGCATGTGAGCCTACTGAATTAGAACAATGATCTGCTACGGCCGAGGTGTTGGTCCTACCGTGTTTAAGGTCTGCTTTATGTTCACGAATGCGGTCCGAGACATGGCGTTTGGTTTCTCCAATGTAACTACTACCACAGAGGCAACTTAGTTTGTAGACACCAGGGTATTGTATGTCCGGAATCACATCTTTTACAGACGGAACCAGATCACGGATTTTATGTAATATGTTGAAACGGACCTGGATCTTGTGTTTATTCAAGATTTTGGAGATCTTTTTTGTGATCCCAGCAATGTAGGGTAAAGTGATGGTTTTGAAAGGCTCCTCAAGAGGGTTCTTCTTCATGGTTTGAGTGATAGCTTTGCGGATTGTATAGTCGGAGTAACCATTAGCCCTAAGAGCTTGGTGTACGTGCTTGAGTTCACTGCTTATGTGTTCCTGGTCGGATATGCATTGGGCTCTATGATACAGAGTCTTGATGAGAGAATTCTTCTGTGATGGATGGTGGTGGGAATCCGGTTTCAGATAAGCATCCGTATGGGTAGCTTTCCTGTAGACAGAGTGGCTCATTGAACCATCAGGTCTCTTTTTAATTAGGACATCCAAAAAAGGTATCTTGCCATCTATTTCGACTTCCATGGTAAATCTGATGGCTGGGTGTATGGAATTGATGTGGTCGAAGAATTGGTCTAGACCAGGCCGGCCATGTGGCCAGATGACAAAAGTGTCATCCACGTACCTCTTCCATAAGGTTGGGCGCAGAGTGGCAGTCTGGATGGCGTCAGTCTCAAATTTCTCCATGAAAATGTTAGCTATAACTGGAGAAAGGGGGGAGCCCATTGGGGTGCCCTCAGTTTGTTTGTAGAAAGTTCCATTCCAAGTGAAGTATGTATTGGTTAAACAGTGTCTCACCAGGGGGGGTACCTCAGTGTTTAGTCCTTGATGAACCAAGTCTTCAATGATTGCAATGGTGTCAGGTACAGGAACCTTGGTGAATAAGGAAACTACATCAAAACTGACAAGCAGGTCGTCTGGGGACAGGGAAATACCCTTGATTGTTGATACCAGGTGAGTAGAATTTTGTACCGCAGAGGTGGTCTTTCCAGTGAAAGGACGCAGGATTTCAGACAAAAAACGAGCTAGTTTGTAGGTGGGGGAGCTGATAGTAGAGACTATGGGACGAAGAGGTGTATCAACTTTATGTATTTTTGGTAAGCCGTATAATCTTGGTGGCCTGGCAGCAGAAGGTTTCAACGAAAACTGTTTAGATTGATCAATTAATGCGGTTGAATCAGAAATTATTTTGTTGGTTTGTGTGACGAGGCTGTTGGTGGGATCTCTTTTTATTTTTGTATAACTACCATCGTCGAGTAATTCTTTAATTTTGTTGTTGTATTCTATTTTATCCATGATGACAGTAGAATTGCCTTTGTCAGCTGAGAGAACTACAATATCATTCCTCTTTTTTAATTTATATAATTCAAAACGCTCATCTTTGCTGAGGTTGCTAGCTGGCATCTTAGCGTTTTTGAGGGTTGCAGCGATTTCAGATCTTGCTACGTCTGCAGCGATGTGACCCAGGCCCCTGAGAGCAACGTCTACTTGGGCAATTATATCATTAACTGGTATGTGTTTAGGTGTGACTGCAAAGTTTAGACCTTTAGCTAAAACGGATTTCAGACCATCGGAAATAGAACTGTTACTGCGATTAATTACGACTTTATTAACGTCTAACTTTTTGGTGTGTGGGTCCGGTCTTTTGTTGAAGAGGAGGTTAAATTTGGAAATCAGGTTTTCCTTACATTTGGTCGACATAGTAGCAGCTGAAGAGGCAGTCACTCTGTCTACAGGAAAGCTACCCATACGGATGCTTATCTGAAACCGGATTCCCACCACCATCCATCACAGAAGAATTCTCTCATCAAGACTCTGTATCATAGAGCCCAATGCATATCCGACCAGGAACACATAAGCAGTGAACTCAAGCACGTACACCAAGCTCTTAGGGCTAATGGTTACTCCGACTATACAATCCGCAAAGCTATCACTCAAACCATGAAGAAGAACCCTCTTGAGGAGCCTTTCAAAACCATCACTTTACCCTACATTGCTGGGATCACAAAAAAGATCTCCAAAATCTTGAATAAACACAAGATCCAGGTCCGTTTCAACACATTACATAAAATCCGTGATCTGGTTCCGTCTGTAAAAGATGTGATTCCGGACATACAATACCCTGGTGTCTACAAACTAAGTTGCCTCTGTGGTAGTAGTTACATTGGAGAAACCAAACGCCATGTCTCGGACCGCATTCGTGAACATAAAGCAGACCTTAAACACGGTAGGACCAACACCTCGGCCGTAGCAGATCATTGTTCTAATTCAGTAGGCTCACATGCCATTGACTTTTCCAAGACGGAGGTTCTTTGTAAGCCATCTGGCTTCCATGAGAGATTCGTTCATGAGGCTATCCACATATACAAGCACAGAGACAATTTCAACCGAGAAGATGGATTCTATCTTAGCAATCATTGGAAAGATTTGATAAATCATTTCAGTTCTTGATTGATTGTTCACGCTTACAGTGGCTTTCAGACAGCATACATTATAAAAAATTTCGTCTCCCCCCTCCTCTTTTCAAAAAAATAGATGGACTAGTCCTGGGCAAACTGCCAATCGCTGCGCGTGACGCCAACGTTTTTTATAAATAAATAAATGTGCCGTTTTAAAAATAAATTTATGCAAACCGACACACCTGATGATGACCGTTTGAGTTATGGTCGAAACGTCGTGAGAATTTTTTATTGTTTTATATATATTTTGTTATTTTGTTGTTTCTCTTCAACGTGACTTTACCGAAAAAACTAAGAATAAGGCAGCTTGTGTTTCAGTGCAACTGTTCCGGGGCCCTTCTCGTAAGTTGGTGCCGTTAAACAAATGAAACGATTCTCCCAGATATCGCCGGGCATCATCGCCAACCCGTTCATCATGGCGGGTGGCAGGAAGAACAGCATGGAGAGCATCTCGTCCATCGACCGCGACGTAACAATGGAAGAGGTGGAGCTGCTGCACAACGTGGGTCCACGCACGGATGCGGGCGCCACCACGACACGTTGCTTCCCTGAGACAGCCAAATTGTATTCATGAGGACAGCAAACTAAACAAGAGTAGCAGTTCTAAAGAAATTCATTTTCAGTCTAGATTTAAAAGTGCATAGCTCCAGTGGCGTCCTAATATCGGACGGAAGAGTGTTCCAGATGGCCGCAGAATCGCATCTGAAAGCGCGTGATGCGGTGACCGCCTTCGTTTGACGGCTAGCCAAAAGCCGCTGCGAGGATGACCGGAGTTCACGTGATGGTTTATGCTCTTTGCCGAGATCTGCAAGGTTAATTTGTGGCAAGCATTGTGTGTAACGAGTGCCGCCGCTCCCGGGCATGAATGGAAGGGAGCGTGAACATGCAGTCGATGCAGTAGAGGGAGCCACATTGTGGGCAGTCATGTGTCTTGTCGCACAAGCACTGAACAATGTCGCTTTGAAACGATCACGCATGCTGCGATATGGATCGTGTAGAAAAATTGCGGACCATGCTTTCGCCAAATTGAGGCCAATGTCTGCTGATGAGACCGAAGAATGTTGAAAACGGTTGTGGAATTCCCTACCGTTGGAAATTAGTTTTTCCGATAATGTAGATACTTCTAAGTTTCGTCTTAAAACACATCTTCTTAAGTCAGTTTATTTAGCTTCTCTGTCTCGCTTGGCCTTTACTTATCCTTAGTCTTACAAGGCTCCTTGAGACATGAGTGGAAGGCGCCTTACACATAAATGTTAATTATTTTCAATGCTGCGGGGACAAACCTGTCCAGATGAATGAGGGCCAAAAATGTAACTTATTTTATTTGTATTTGTGTAAAACAGGTGTACATTTTGATTGTAAATGTTGTGGATTTGCTCTCCAACAAAACCGGTGTGCTGTACTAGTAACGAATTGGCATGTTCTGTTTACGTTACAAACCTTACTAATTGGCTGTGTCTCGGGTGGTGGCGGGTTTAACGATACATTTATATTTACGTGATCTAACCAAAAAAAAATACTATTCTAGATGTACATTTGGCGATATAAATCTGTTGTTTACTTTACAACAGATTTGTCATCTTATTTTTGTTTCTTAAAGTAATTAATGTGTTTACTTGCTGATGCCGTTTGCGATCACATGGACATTGAGCAACTGACCGTCGATGAGCGAGAGAGCGAGAATTAAACCGGCACGTGCCATTAAAATGTAAACAAATCACGAGCATTGTTAAAACCAAACCTGGATAATTCCACCCTCGGATTATAATCAACGTGTGGGATGAGCTTCATTGCATTCACGCCCAAACTCTCGTGGAACGTCTCACCTTTCCACTTGAACTTGAAGATTCAAGTTAGGTCGTCGTTGAGCAGTGTGACGAACTTACTATCGTTTGAATGTAGGAGAAACTGAGAAGAGAGTGTGAAAGAGCATTGTGCCTTAAGGAAGCTACACAGGTACAGTTCGGGTGCCATTAGTGATGTCTATTAGTGTTGTTTTCCATCGGCATGCTCACGATTAACACCTGTGGGTTTCCACGTCTTAACAAACGTCACTAACTTAACCCGGAAAGGTTTCACAGGGTTTCCGTGTCTGTGGATTCATCGTTTTGTTTGCTTTTTTTTGTCCGCGTTACATTTTCATCGTTGATGCGGTTTCACCACCTTCGTTCAAAATGTAACGTGGTAGCCGTTTTGTAGATATCATCATCGTCCGAGCACTGCAGAATAAACGTGTGCCCTACTCGGAGGCGGTGGAGTGTTCAGATCCCAAGCGAGTAGCCTCCCCAGTGGTATAACAATGTGTCGGTTCATTCGCTAATATAGACTCTCCAGCTCACGATGAACGCGCTGATTTACATGCGAAAGAATCGTTTTTTTTCACTTCATATGTTGTATGTAATGGTTTCGTATGACCCCGACTACATTCACACATTGTTGCACCATTGACTTGTTCCATAAATAAGCCATATGTATACTTCTAAAACTGGATAATAAAAAAATCACACGCCGTGATAATTTTCACTGCAGTTGCCTACGTTGTGGAACTGGCCAACGCGTAGTCAACTGTGGAGGCTTGTCAAATAAATCCAGCGTGCAGAGTACACGGAGGAATATAAAAGTGGCATAGTCCGTAGCGAGACACCCCCGCTGGACCTGCCTCCACTTTCCCACTGTCAAGCTACGCCTGGCCCTCCTAAATTATCTCGTTCCACCGCCTCTGTCAATACTTACACGTGGTTACTGAAGATCCATCCCGGGCATGTAATGACGCGTCGATTCCGCCATTGATATTCATTTTTACACTCAACGTTAACATAACTTGTGAGTGTAAGCATCGATTACTTTCCATTCGGGTACATTGTTTGTCACGGGCTGACGTGACCCCTGCGATCATGAGCATCGCTGCTTTCACAACGGTGTTAAAAAAAACATCGACTCTTGAAACGAATCTCGGCCCCCAAACAGCGACGGTTGAACCGCGGTGTGCACACGTCATTGCATGCCTAATTCGCCAGTACAGTCATACGTGTGCCGTACACTAACACCGGGTACGCATCTACGTACGTTGAACTTCCGCAACGTACGTAGCCAAACCTTGCTGATCGGAGGTGCGTACCACGGTCACGCGCACCTTCGCCCGGCCTTATTGGATGTGTGCGTGTCTGCAGGCCAGCGCCGAGGAGCGCGGGCAGGAGGTGGACAACCGCGTGAGCGACGGTCCCAGGGAAGAGCGAGCGTTGCAGGGGTCCGCGTCTCGACAGCACGGTGAGGCCTCGTCGACCCAATGCATCCATCCCACACTGACATTCGTTCTTCTTCTGCTGTATAGATGTGAATTGAGTGGCTACTGTAAATCGATGTCCAAGTTGTAAATCCAGTTGCTGGTTTCGGGGGGCATCGAGCGTGAACCGCTCGCCCTGTCGGAGAAGGCTCGTTGTGGTGCACCGCTGTCACATCCGAGAGATTGTTTTGCCGTTGATTAAATCCCGACGGATGAACTGTGCTGGGTGTACACTTTGTAAAGCTTGGGTGACCAAAAACACATGGTTTAAAATACATCCGTGTCGTCAGTCCTCTCACCTGTGGTCGAAATGGATCCGCTAATAGCAGATGTTAAATGATAAAATTATTGGCCCATATAAGAATGCTTTATGATCGAACGATTCTTTCGGGGGAGCTGTGACCTCCAAGGTGTCCGGGTAAAGCTGCATCATGAAATGTATAATTTGGTTGAAATTTCTCTTTGCCCCAAATTCATATCTTAACTCTGGGGAAAAAGCCGCTGAGCACATTTACGCTTCTCGAAGCTGACGGTTATAAAATGCGGGAGTATTGCAATAATGCAATGGAGAAATAAGGAGACGAGATGTAACACACAAGTAGTGTAAGGGCGCAATGGATGGCACTGCAATCCGGGCTCAGCAACCCGAATTTGATTTGCCACGGCTGTCATCAGTGACGAGTGATATCTGAACAGTCCTCGGTCCACCGCTGCTCTCACCCAATACGTACCGACTGATGTGAAGTATGGTCAACGTCCATGACTGACACAGTGAGGGAGCCTTTGTCCAGCAGAGGATTGGCAAAAGCCTGTAATTAACTTATGATATTATCGTTTGCTATTGTGTAACAAAATAAATGCAAGTATTCATACGTTTCTTCAGCTACGGAGACGTTGCAGAAGCCTGCCCATGACGAGTGCCTTATGGGGAACAACGATCACAGCAGTGACGACTCGAGCCAGTGTCCGGAGTTAGATGCTGCCAACACGGGAGGGATACCCTCTCTCCAATTGGACGACAAAGACTGCAACCTCAACACCAGGTATTTGACTGATGCAGAAAAAAAACCCACTAGCAGCAGAAGCAAAACCCTACACTACAAAATAACACAAAATAATTATTTTCAAGTAACTCGACGAAAACGCTAATCGTTATTTTGTGTCCTGTATTACGAAGTTTTTTATGGATTCGAACGTATATCGTCAAGAGGGGGTCCTTGCCTATAACATGTGGCAGTTCACCAGCATTGTTCAAAGCAAGTCCCGACTCGTCGTATGGTGAATCCGGTCCAGAGTTTGCTTGTTTATTAATGTCTTCGCTATTTTTCTGTAAATATTTAAACCCAGGGAGGAGCTAGTGTTGCCCCCCCCCCAACTCTTTACCACTTGACATGTGGCGAGAATTACGGTCGGACAACCTCCACAACCCATACGGAGGCCTTCCAGTGATGACGTGACAAATAGTTGTATATCAAGTATGTTTTTAACCCAGGTCACACTTGAAAGAGAGAGTCTTGGTTTCAATGGGCTGTCACCTGGTCATGATTAACAGGTCATCTGTATGTCTGTATGCACACACCATTGCAACAGAGGAATTGCAAACTGGTGGTTGGGCACCTGCCACCAGTTTGGGTTTGACCAGGATGGCCTGGGAATTGGCATCTGTGTTCTGGTGGCAGGAATTGATTTGTACCGAGATCTGTACGTATTTTAAACTTCTTTTGCGTGGTACATAGCCAACCGTGCTAATCGGAGGTGCATGGAAAGGACAACAAACTAAACACAAAAAGTAGTTATCAAGAAATTCGTTTTAAATTTAGATTAAAGAGTGCATCGCTCCAGTGGCTTCCTAATATCGGAAGGAAAGATCGTTCCAGACGGCCGCAGAAGCACATCTAACGCAGTTGATCGTCTTTGTTCGATGGTTAGCCAATAGCCGCTGCGAGAATGATCGGAGTTTACCTGATGTATTATGCACCTTGACGAGCTCGGCATCGACCTCGTGCTGACTGCGAAATATGACCGCAGTTGGTCTACAGTTGGGGGGGGGGCAGGAAGGTGGCAACTCCACCTGCCGCGAGCGAGTTTGGCGTGCGCGTGTGGTCTCGCGCCGCAGGCCCGAGGGGCACGAGGTGTTCGTGGAGAGCCGAGCGCCGGCGCCCGTCAGGACGGCCAAGGCCGAACGGCGCTACCAGGAGCGCGCGAGCGGCGGGCCGAGCCCCGAGCCGCTGCCCAGCGACGGGGATCTCTCCCCGGCCGAGCGCAGGGCCCTGCAGGCGGAGAAGAGAGCCATGTGGCGCGCCGCCAGGTGCATTCCGTGGGTGGTGCCCGGTGGTTTTGTCCTTGGGGTGGGGGGGGGGGGGGGCGTGGTGGAGGGGTAATCGATTGTAAGAGGAATCAAGTGATCCAAAATTAAATGGAACATAAGTCGTGCTTTTGCGTAGACTTTGTAACGCATGGCAACTTGCGTTTTTCCTCGGAGGTGTTTATTAGCAGGACGGAAGACGTCGGGTAAATGTCAAGGCAAAAATCTTTTACATATTTGCAAATCGTCCTTTAGTCGTGCTGGTGTTTGCAAGTATTAAGACAACCCTGTTGCTCAATTTGGCCAATTTTCTAGAGGGTAAGTACCTAACTGCATCACAACTGTATAATAAAGCGTCATTCGTGATTATACTTCACCACTCTTGTCAGCGCAGTATTTTTTTTTTAAGTTTAATTATTGATAACCAGAGCTTAATTTTAGTTCTGGAAAATATTTCCATAAGGCTGTGGATCAGGGATGGGGGTCCAGGATGAGGGTCCGGGATGGAGGATGGGGGGGGTGCTCTGGAATATATTCCACAACAAATAAAAACCTGACGATAACGCTTGATAATCAAAGGTAACAACCCTGGTTACCATCCTAGTTTGAACGTCACTTGATCGATATTTTTTTTTGCCCCCACTGATAACAGGATGAAATCTCTCGAGCAAGATGCGCTAAAGGCCCAGATGGTGATCGCCAAGGCGCGGGAGAACCAGAAGCGCAACAACCTGGACCGGCTGTCCGAGACCCCCTCGCCTGCTCTCTCGGCCTCCCCGTCTCCGCACGACGGTGCGTCTTCCTTGCCCGTCCACTCCTCTTTGGCGGCCTTCCGGACTCGTGCCGCGAACCTATGCGAAAAGCAAGCGGCAACCGCTGTGCCGTTTCTCTGCTCGGTCTACACCCGAGTGATCCGTTGTGCAACCAACAGCGCCTGCTTATGTGTGGATACAATCGATTAGGTTGCACGCAATGGAGTTGCGCGGCCCGTTTTTTTGCTTCCTTAATTCACAATGATGGTGATTAAAACGAATTAATTGATGTTTTCATTTCATGAAGCCATGTCGGGCCCATGATTTACAGAGTTTATGGGTCTTCAGTCTTGTATGGCCCTTTCTCAATCCACTGCTGGATGAGGGCCTGCCCAGATTCCAGCCAGCATGGCCGTAAGGAATATTTTTTATCTATCTTCACCATGCTGGTCAGTGCAGTTTGGCGCAGGTTGGAGGCATACAGGACTGCAAGGGATTTTGCTACACAGCCCTCTACTGACCATAACGTCTTATACACCTGTTTTTTTGCTATCCAGGCTCCACCTTGCTTAGCTTATAATATCTGATCAGATCGGGTGCATTCTGGGTGCACCGCCTTCAATACTATTATAATGTGGGTCTACATCTCGTCTAGTTGCGACTGCATTTAGAGATGCATGTACAGAACAATCCACACAGAGCTGTATTATCTCAAGTGGTATTGGCCTTTTTCAGGTCAGACTAAAGCTGTGCCTGTATAAACTTTCTCAGACATTTACCCTCGTTCTCACCTCAACCCTAACCCTTGCCATTACATCCATTCCTCACAATAACCCACCATCTCCGCTTAACTCTACCTCCTATTACCGTGAAGCCTCAGTCTTCTAACGTTCTTCAGTGGATATTTTCTGCTAAAAATTGCATATTTTCATGCTGTTACCCTTACCTTGCAGCTTTTTCTCTCATGCCTCTGCTGTTGTATTTCTCTCTGTTCCAACTATGTGGATTTTAAATTTTGATTTAAAGCTTTCGTGACTGCAGTGATTCATATTCTTGTTTCTTTCGGTAAAGCCACGTTGAAGGGAAACAATAAAATAGATTGTTTTATATATATTTTATTATTTTATTGTTTCCCTTCAACGTGACTTTACCGAAAGAACCAAGAATATGTGGATTTTCTTCTACGGGTGCCTTACGGTTAGCATGAGAGCATTGTGACAAAGGGATACAGACCATAGCAAAGCTCTTGCATGTTTACCAATGCAAAAACATCTGGCCATTGTTTACTCTTCCATTTAAGCTGTTTGTTTTTAGTATTAAATGACATTCGTGAGTGTGCAACTGCCATTTAAAACCCTTATTTTTCCTTCAGATTACAATGTTTACCAATGTCTTAAAGATGAAACGGGCTCTCCACAAGGGAACTTGGTAAGTTGTGTTTGCCTCCAAATAAAAACACACGCTTCCATGAGAGGTGGCTTTTGGGTGGCTTAGAGGTCGGAGCACTGAGCCGGCATGGTTGAGATTCTGGATTCGAATCTAGGCAGCTATCTGATTAAACTGGCCTCATGTGTCGTGAGTTGATTGCACTTAATTTTCAAAGATTCCAGCGCTGAGAATTTAAGTATATATATTTGACAGTCATTCAACAAACATTACTGTCAGTGGCAGAGAAGGGAAAGGACCAGAGGGGGGGGGGGGGGGGTCACATGAATGGATTTCAGAGGTAGCTCTGCGTGATCTGCTTCCGTTGGCCATTTCTCTCTAGTATACAATGTAAAAAACACGATGGGTGGGGCACTGCTATGATAGGGATCAGAATCGATTCTGTACCTCGAGACACGACTTGATGAGAACGGAGGATGTTCTATTTTTTGTATTCAGTCAAAATTAATTGTCACCTTGAGCTGCACTTAGCAGAGGTTTCCTGTGTTGATGTAAATCTCTGTGCTGTGTCTCACCAGGGTTCTGAAGCCAGTCTTGAAACAGGATCTCAGCTGAGCTGGGTTCAGTCGCCGACCACACTAAATGCACCGTCGGACGCCCATACGCAAAACACAAATGTGAGTAGCGATCCATTCTTTTGTTACAGAGCTGTGCCAAAACTTTATATAGTCTTGTCTGAAACATATAATCACAATTTGTACATTTCTGCTTCAGTAAACTTAGACAATAAATAACCAAATTTTGATTTAAAGCTGTCGTGACTGCAGTAATTCATATTCTTAGTTTTTTCGGTAAAGTCACGTTGAAGAGAAACAACAAAATAATAAAATATATATAAAACAATAAAAAATTCTCACGACGTTTCGACCATAACTCAAACGGTCATCTTCAGGTGTGTTGGTTCGCATAAATGTATTTATAAACGGCGCATTTATTTATTTATAAAAAACGTTAGCGCTACGCGCAGCGATTTGGCAGTTTACCCAGGACTAGTCCATCTATATTCTGAAAAGAGGAGGGGGGAGACAACATTTTTTATAATGTATGCTGTCTAAAGCCACTGTAAGCGTGAACAATCAATTAAGACCTGAAATGGTTTATCAAATCTTTCCAATGATTGCTAAGATAGAATCCATCTTCTCGGTTGAAATTGTCTCTGTGCTTGTATATGTGGATAGCCTCATGAACGAATCTCTCATGGAAGCCAGATGGCTTACAAAGAACCTCTGTCTTGGAAAAGTCAATGGCATGTGAGCCTACTGAATTTTTTATTGTTTTATATATATTTTGTTGGTTCTCTTCAACGTGACTTTACCGAAAAAACTAAGAATATAATAAATAACCAGTTCCTTAAATATCATAATTACTTTCCTACCACCAAAAGGAAAGGAAGATCTTGACCTTTTATCTAACTGGCATTTCTTCAGCATATACCATAATAATTCAAATGTATAATGCGCATTTGGTCCTAGGATCCCAATGCGCAATGCATGAACAGCAGGAAACAAAAAAAGAACCAGGGCAACCGACCAAACGGGTGAAGACCGGTTTAAAGAGACGGGTTTTCAAAGCACACTTAAATATTGATTTAATACCCCTCTAGAGGGGCTCTCCAAAGCTCCTTCTGAACAAAAAAAATACTGCAGGAGTATACATTAACCTTTTTTTCCTCATGATTTATTTTGCAGGTATCCAGAAGTGATGACACTCATTGAGGGGACGGTGGTGGAGAGAACGGACAGCGTACACCAAATGCCTCATCTGGCAGAAATGCCTTTTTTTGGCACCGACCAGGGACACTTTCTGCTGGTGTATCGTTAACTAGTTATGGTTTTATATGTTCCAGTTTGCATGTTTGATATGTTTCAAAACGGGATGTAAACTTTCAGTTTAAATGCTCTCAAACTAGAACGATGAGTAGCGTTTTATTGTAAATTTGGTACAGTTAGTAATGTGTAAAATTTAGAACTAGAGCCATCGTTTTTAAACAAAACACTAAGAGGTGTAGAACGGGGATAGGTTTACAAGTTTGACACATCTGTAAAATAAACTGTGAATGATTTTAACTTTTATATTTGCTGCTTCTTGGTGGGTGTACACGATCGGATGTGAATTTATATATAAAGGAAAAAAAAGTACATCACTTGGCATTTTATTTTTGTAAGTTCTTTTACAATACTGTAGGGTTAGAAAAAAATAAAACACCAGTTCCTCCCTTTTGGGCACCGACTTCTTTATCATTCAACGTTCTCAGCCTCGGATAGGTTTCTAAGTGCTTTAACATGTAAAGTAGCGCATCAGTTGTTAGTCGTCGTAATAGCTGTTTTTGTATGTTAACGCATTACGCCTGTTTTGTAAATCAGTGGAAATAAATGTTGATTTAATTTTCCACCGCTAACATTTCAAGTATGCTCTGTTGCTTAACAATGAGTGTAATTCTGTTATGTTCTGTTATGCTTGTGGGAAACATTTTTGGGGGAAATAAAGCAAGTGAATTTCATCATCTTTATCAGCCGTGGTCTCCACTGCTGAATGAAGGCATCGTCATGCGGGCACCATCCCTCACTCTGTAATGCCACAATCTGTCGTACGTACACTTGAGATAATCACATCGCTCGTACGTACACTTGAGATAATCACATCGCTCCGACTCCATGTTGGTCATCCTCATTTGGTTTCCACTTCATGACCATCGGCCAATAACCCTTCTAGCATCGTGCCATGCCCAAACACTTTCCTTAATCATCGTACATTAATTCCAGCTTTTTTTCAATCCACGTCATAATGAAATCCCCTACATACCAGATCCATCTGGGAGGTGTTTGACCATACCTCACCCTGCTGATCAGTGCCAAGCAGCCCTGATACTGGTTTAGATATCGCCACTGATATTAATTAGCCAGTGACAGCAATTTAACTCGGGTAGCAGGTTCATAGCGCAGTGTTCTAACCACACCACCCCTTAATTTCCTGTCAATCCACTGCTGGATGAAGGCCTCCCCATGTAATGTTGGTCATTGGATTTGTTTGGCCATTCTTGACCTTACGAGTAAATAGTCGCATCAAGTGAATTTACAAACTATAATTTGGAGACTATAAACTTCGCGTAAAAATACGTACTGATGTGCTATTGTGGAAAATCATAAGTCACGAATATACAGACCAGCTCCTGCATGTCTGTAAAAAATATAATTTCCAGCAATCTGTAGGCCTTCAAGACCATTGCTTTGTAAAACATATCTGACTGCTGATTAGACTCAAAAAGTCAAAACCAGGGCACACCTCGGCCGCTTAAACAAATGCTGCTGTAAAACGTCGGTCTGAATGCCCGTATATTAAAAGGATAAAACAAAATTAGTACTGCAGTATTAAGCAGGGCTTCAGTCTGGATTCGAACCGTGAACCTCTGCAATAATCGGCGAACGCGCTACCAACTGGACCATGGCATCGCCCCGTGCTTCACCAGAGCCATCCGTTTGCGCAACCAAACTGCATATTGCCAGGTTTATGCTGCACGTGTGGCACGAGGGATATGCAACCAGGTCGCGCGCAATAGAGCGGCCACGTGCGTGAGTGGGAGGCGACTTTAGGCGTGGGTGGCGGTTAGCGGGGCTGCCCTACGGACCCAGCCGCCCGAGTTCGAGTCCCGCTCACGGCCACCAACAACCTCCAGTGGACGATTATCTTGAACCGGGCCTCCCCTAGGTCGACTCGGCCTCAAACGAGTACCCGGTGTAGCGGTGTGTAAAAAACATCGCCACTGGAGGAGAGACAAAGGCGGCCGGGGCGTGGTGTTGTCCCCCAACCCCATCACCGTCGTGTGCCAGTGGCGGCCTCCATCGTTGGGCTGAACGATTTGGGGAAAATATCTAAATACGATTTTTCTGACATTGCGATTGGATTTGCAATAAAAAAAATGCGTAAGTCAAGCTTCAGTTCAATATTCACTGTGTAATAGATTTAAAACACGTGATGGAGCGTTACCACGTGATACCATCACAATATGAACTGCTCTATATATTCTAATGCAAGGATGAGAACTTAAAATATATTAATTGATTCCAATATGTATTTATTAAAAAATTGAAATAGAACAATCAAACATAGAACAATTGTTAAGTTAAATAAAGTTAGAATAAAACAAATTATACCCAATTCCATAATACAATACATAATACAATTTCGCAACAAAATCGCAGCTTTTGCGATTTGCTAATCGCATTGTTTAAAATTTCGATTTGAAATCGATTCATCGTGCAGCCCGACTCCATAGGGCGCAAGCAGCAACTTGCCCCAGCGATCTGTGGCTGGCGGGTCGCAAATGACCGCGGACCCCTAAACGCGACTCTGCGCCGCGCTGATTGGCCGAGAGGGCGCGGCAGCGTCATCGCGAAAGTGATGGCGGCCAGCAACAAGCGAATCCTCTACGTCGGTGAGCAGCCGCAATTAATGTTATTATTATTGTTGTTGTCATTGTTAAACTTCGATTTCTCCTGACGGTGATTAAGATGTGGGTTTTTTTTAAACAAAAAAAATTACACTGTCGGCCCAAAATTCAACGAATGTATTCGTGATTTGACGTCGAACTCGGATTGTCAATGTTGTGGGTGCGCTGTCCCATGATGCACTGTGCCACGTTTTGTTTTAAATGACAAAACTTTACTAATTGGCCGTGGCGGATTTAACGACGCATATTTTACGCGATCTAACCCTGTATTATGGATGTGTTATATATTGTAGCGTCTGGGTTTTTGTTTTCTCAATGAGTTGAGGCCTTCTAAGGCCTACTGTCAATCCATTGCTGTATGAGGGCCCAGTGACTCCCGTCACCAAATCGACCATACTTCACCACGAATTAACCAATGACTTGCCGATTGTTGCTACACGCGTAACGTACACACAGCACTCGGCGCAACTCGTCAACGACGCTGCCTTAAATGAGGGAGGTAAAAAATATATAATCGGTGACGTTTCGGGCAACGGGCCATTCTTCGAAGCACGCCGCGTTGGTCAGTGTGGGTTTGGAGGAGTTGGTGGAGGCCAAGGAGGGGTTCGAATCTTACTCTCGACACTGTGGTCGGCGTCGTTTTTCTGTCTCCGGGGTCTCTACTCCGGCTTTCCCCTCCACGTCTACGAATCAACGTCGCGCGTTTACGGCATTTGGCTCAATGACGACGGGCCCACAGTTCGTTGAGCTATCATCATGTGTGACGACGGCCAGGTCGCTTTTTGAGAAAGAGCCCCGTACTAAATAGCTCACCGAGCCTCTTACCTTAGTCAACTAAAAATAGTCGTGGCGATGTCGACAGCGGCCCCAGGCATCGAACTCGTGTTGCCCGCAGGGTTCGTAGCGCAGCGTTGTAGTTTATTTTATTTCATAGTTTTTATTTATTTTGGTATAGCCCTGTGAGCCATTCGGTTCTTGAATCGGGTGCAACCTCAACAAACAAAAAACACGAACAAGAAAACACCTTAAAGTGACTATGTGACTGTGCAAACAGAAAATACAGGAAAAAACCAATCAAAATATTCCTGAAATAGCACCGTACACCAACGCTGTGTGCAAAAATCCCAGTGGGATGCAAGTCAAACAACAACAACAAGACAACTAAGATTAAGGCCATCAGTCTAACTCCGTACTACAATAAACAAAAACATGGCCAAAAAAACCGTTTTCGAAATCACCAAAATAAAAGCCATAAATGCAATGTAACAGTGATCATAGGGACTGTGACCGAATTTTTAACAATAAACTACATAAATAAATTATAACACCAAAATCTAGAGCCATATTTTAGGCCACTGAATAGCAGTGGAAGCTAGGGGTGTACAACTCCTCGAGAGCAGTTTTGAGTGAAGATCTCAGGTAGTGATTCAAGTTGCAGTTTATTGGCAATAGCATTCCAGACCCTGGGGGCATCATTGTAACAACTTCGCTCCGCCAAAGTTCTACTTTTACCTCTGTCACAATCTCGCGACTCTCGCAACTTTACGTGTGAAGTTAACAGTTTCGATGGCACCGCCGCGTGAATAGCCAGGTAAGTGTGCAAGGGTGATCAGTGCCGCGTGCAGACTTTCTGCACGCGCCAATGTGGCTTGTATGACGGCATCGGTTTAACGCGTGGGGCTTTTGCGACCAATTTTATTCACAGTATAGGGTTTTTTTTTTTTTGGGGGGGGGGGGGGGGTTAGATCACGTAAATATATAAATGTGTCGTTAAATCCGCCACCACTCGACACAGCCAATTAGTCAGATTTTGGCACGTAAACAAAACATGCCAACTCGTTACTAGTACTCTCGAATTGTAAATGTTGTGGGTTTACTATCCAACACACCGGTGTGCTGTATTAGTAACGAATTGGCACTTTCTGTTTACGTGACAAACTTTTCTAATTAGCCGTGTCGGGTGGTGGTGGTGGGTTTAACGACATATTTACGTGATCTAACCCCAAAATAAACTTTTTTATGGAGAATTGCATCAATTCACCAACCTCAACAATCGATTTGAATGATATCAAGTTAAGATTCAATTTTTTTTAATATACAATACTGCCCTTTAAAATCTATTTTGTTCCCATCACCTTTATTGTTTACGTCTCGTTCAATTTCTTAATTGTTCTGTGGACCTGAAAGTATAATTTGCATGGAATTGGCGTAATCGATGCCCTATAAGCACGACTGTGCTTGTGTTCTCAACATGATCGACTACGTCGTGTCATTACGCTCACGATGGATGGCAACTCACGCATAAATAGCGATAAAATGCAGTGCACGATAGACTCATAATTTCCCCTAGGCTAATTGGATCGGAGAACGATACAGAAGGAAACACAAATAATGTTATGTTTTCATCGATTTGGAACATCAACGGTGACAATGGAATCGCTTGTGTGTGAATGGTTACACATCTGGATGCTGATATTCCTTCAGCGAATCACGGTGGTGTCGTGATCAAATTTCACTGTGCCTGTGAGTGCGGGTTGGTCAAGGTATAGCATGGACGCTTGGAAGTACAGTACAAGAATAGATGTTGCTCTTGCGGCAATATACCCACGTTTCACCTCTAAGATATTGCGTGTGAATCCAAGGTTGCTTGCCTGCCTTGAAACCCATGATCTCAGTCATAACCAACTCGTGCTCAGATCTCGAAATCACCCGGGCCCTCTTGAACTTTGTTTTTTGTGCCAATGACACAAACTCTTCCCTCCTAAACTATTTATTTGGCTGTCCACCAGGCGGGCTGGCGGAGGAGGTGGACGAGAAGGTTTTACATGCCGCGTTCATCCCATTCGGGGACATCGTGGACATCCAGATGCCGCTCGACTATGAGACAGGTACAACACCAACTCGTCTGCCCTACGTGTGTCATATATTGTTCCAACGATGGCACACGAGCACACTTGAGAAAGCTGAGAATACGAATACTCATAAGTTAGGGCAACACCAGCCTTTAATTCAACAAGCGAGACGTTTCAAACTTCTGGCTACAGCAAGGAGAGAGAGCGTAATCATCGTCAAGTAAAAAATTCTCAACCACCAGACGTGAAGGATGTGGATGGTAGAACGGGGTTTGAATTTCAGACTTTCAAGTGACTCACATCTGCTTACTGTAATTTAAACATCTCGTTTGTTACATTTCAAGCTTGTTTTACCTCTGTTTGTGGTAATTATTACAACGGCACCTCCCTAAATGGCGTATATCCTTCTCAGCTTTGTGTTTACGTGCTGCCCTTCTTCAACATTGGAGATGTCTAGAAAGGCGTATGTCATTAATCACTGCAAGGAGATAGCTGAGCACTTAATCCGTTGAACCGCTTGTCATAAATAATGTTTGCAGAAATCCTAAAGCTTATCGGAGCTGAGTTTAGCCCCTTTGTCGCCCTCTTCTGGCTTCTTACATAAAGCAAAGTCTGAACTAAAACTCAACCATTTTTATATTACCAGGTAATACCCCACTGAGCTATATAGCTCTTTTTCATAAGCGAACTGGCCACACAAATGATCGCCCAACGGAAGTGACTTATCACGTGGACATTTATAGCACCCAAATACTCTAAATGCATGTTGGCTCTAAATGTGGAGGGAAAAACCGGAGGACCCGGAGAAAAATCCACGTTGAAGTCAATCCCATCAATGCGCCGACGGATTTATCTGCTAGATTGGCATAATACGCCGACTTCCCATGTGAGACGTCTGGGATTTTGTTGAGTGCCTACCTCCTCGTTTGTTTTTGTTTTCTGTTTACAGAAAAGCACCGGGGTTTTGGGTTCGTGGAGTTTGAAGCTGCAGAGGTTTGTTCGTAAAAAAATTTGTATTTACAAAATTCGACTTTTGTTATATTTACTCATATTCCTGTTTCAGTAATAATACATTGTAGTGATATTTTACATTGAAGTGATATTTTTCTTAAAACAACAAGCACTCGAGGTTGTGTATTATCATCTTACGCATGTGATTATCTTTCAGGATTCTGCAGCAGCAATCGACAACATGGTGAGTGTTACTTCCCTCCCTATCCGTTAACAATTAAGTACGCACATTCTCTGATTAAGTGCAGTAGGAAACCCATTTTTTTACATTACATTTTGCTAGATTGTAATTTTATTCTAGTGTCGCCATGAGAATATTTATCTCATGCGTCCAACCTGCCTGTGTGCGTTTGCAGAATGAGTCGGAGCTGTTTGGTCGCACCATCCGCGTGAACCTCGCTAAACCCATGAGGCTCAAGGAGGGCTCCATGCGACCAGGTCATTTGCAGGAGCCTTATCATGCTGGCCATGGGCCACAATGCACAATTCACACCACACCCTCCGCGCGTTGACAGAAGTGTTGCGTGCGGTCTCTCTCGGTCGCTCATTTTGATGTGCTCTGATCTCACAGTGTGGTCGGACGACAACTGGCTGAAAAGGTTTTCTGGGAAGACCATGGAGACAGAGGAAAAGGGTGGAGAAAAAGTGGAGGATGTCGCAAAGACGGAGGTTCAGGAGGTGTGCTCACCACTTGCTATGCCTCATCAGTTCTCTTTTCTAAATGTGATAATTGCATTGCACAAGAGGTTTGAATGCTGCCGGTGGTACATATGGCGACACGGTGTCACTTCTAGCGTTTCTTTACTTCAAAGCTCATGTTAAGTGAAGCGCGTTTCAACTGTGTGTGTGTGTGCAGGGGGAACCGCCAGCAAAGCGTATTCGAGCAAATCCCCAGGTGTACATGGACATAAAGATCGGCAACAAGCCAGCCGGGCGACTGCGCATCCTTCTGCGGGCTGACATTGTGCCCATGACAGCAGGTGGGATTGCACTTACTGCTGCTGCCATGTCCTAAGATGGAAGCATAGCCGAGGAATGTTAACCAACTCGGTCCGGTTGTCGCTGCTGTTTACCCCAAGCATTCGGAACGGTCAGGGAGGCTCGCTGGAGTGGAGCATCCACACCTGCGAATTGGCATGTTCTGTTTACGTGAGAAACCTTACTAATTGGCTTTGTTGGGTGGTGGCGGGTTTAACAATACATTTATTGTTACGTGATCTAACCCAAAAAAAGCCTGTATTATGGATGTGTGATTTAGTTATGTTTGATTTGACTGGTTTATTTGCACTTGTACCTGCGAGACTTTAAGAAACAATGCAATTTGTATTGGTGGTGATTGTGGTAGTTGTATGGTAATGCTTTGGAAGTGATGATGGTATTAGTGGGTTTGGAGATGATGATAGTTATGGTGTTAGAGTTAAAATTACTGATTGTGTTGTCTGATCATGGTCATTGTGAAATGGTATACTAGTTCACAGCTTCCTGTGATGTGGTATAATTCAGAAGCTCGATAAATGTAAGTTGTAATACAGCACATATTGTACTGAACCAAAAAGGAAAAAACATAGGTGAAAAAAATGTGCTTGCATATGCAAGTCATGCTTTTAAACAACCATATATATCTCGATTATTGTATCCAACATAAGTATGTTATGAGTATACATGTATAATAAATAAATAATTATACCAAGGTATGTGTCATACATTCCAGCATAGCCTGTCAATTTAGCAGTCAGCATCAGGTCAGAGTGATTGATTAAGGTTATTGTTTTACTCGCTGGGAAACTCACTCGATGGTTTTCTGTACAGAAACGCTTTTTTTGGAAAGTGGGGGTAGATTTCACCATGCACTTTGTTTTTCTGTCCCGTTGAATTCCATCTCACAGTCAGGTGTTTGATTTACACATTCCTGTTCACCCCCTGTGGCCATGACTTATCTGCTGGAAGTGCGTGTGTGTTTCTGCTAAAAAAAAAATCAACTCGAAAAACCTCCTCCCATCTAGCGGAGTATTTTATTATCAATATAAATGAGAGAAAGTATTTGTGTCATAGCTTATGCTGCGTTATACATGCACGTCATATTTCAAATTCTGTAATATGTTGTACATGTAACTAAGACAGCGTTTTACGGAATGTAATACCAAACTTTCAAAGAGTGATTATTATTAATACACCCCTAATTTGGTATCAAAGTGGGCTTGTTTATTTTTATTGTCTTATTTACGCTTATTTACATAGAGAAGCCTGACTGAGTCTCATTACTCCTTCTTAGGATGGAATTGCTTGTTTTTGTTTTTCAATTAGAGTGCAATGATTGCGATGTATATTCCAGTTGAGTCATTTGCGGTGTAATTTTTCATATTTGGCCAATTTGGACAGTGACACTGACACACAAGGGTAGTGTATAGATGTATGTTGTAAATAATTGTTCTTATGTGTGTTGCATACGCGTGTGTGTACACAAATGCTGTTTGAGTGCCATTCCCTAAATGTTTATGTACACGTCACATCACAGCGCTACACTCCACCGCTCTTGATGCAGGTTATCTGGCTTGAACACCTGAATGTGAAATTGTCGTTATTGCGCTGCATCTACATCAGCCATACGAAAGAAGAAGAAGAAGAATTTCGATTTAAAGCTTTCGTGACTGCAAGGATTCATCTTCTTTGGTTCTTTCGGTAAAGTCACGTAGAATGAGAATAAAATAATAAAGTAAAACATCGTGAGAATTTTATTGTTTTATTTTATTCTCATTCTACGTGACTTTACCGAAAGAACCAAAGAATAAGAAGAAGAATGTGTATTTACAAGGAATGCTCAGAAAGTAATGCCTCCGAATTTGTTTCACTCAATAACTTGTTATTGAACTGATCCAAACTGTAAGCTATTCATGCCTGGGGGACATTTGCCTTTTTCCCCCAACATCGTTTTCGATGTGCCAAGATGGAACCAGGACCAGCATTCCATCGTTGTAAACTGTGTCATCAGCGGCGCGTAGCCGTTGGCACAACGCTTCTTGTAAGCAGTGTCACCTTCACAATTTTGCTCCCTTCAGATGGCAATTCGAGTGTGCCTGCCGCACATATGGGCTACATTTAGTGTGTAACAGCAAAGTCCACCCGAACTGTGCCTTGGCCTTGTTGTGTATGTCCCCAGGCTTGTGTGTCCCCAAGGCATTGTTTTGTTTGAAGGGGACTTTGCCATCGGATTGTCCTGAGACTGGCTGAACGTACATGTACAGCGATTTTGTAAATCCCCTGATGAATGAGGGCCTCCCAATGTCGTGCAGGTTACGTGGAATATTTGACCATACTTCACCATTCTCATCAATGTGGTTTGGGGACGGCGGACAGAATAGATCTGGGAGCTTAGAAGTACAGTACAGCAATGTTTGCTGCACTGCCTTACTGCTGTCCACCACACAGCTGAGATTTATCATCTCAAAATGTTATTCATGTAACATTTGAGAAAGATAGGTGATTTAACCTTTGGGGTGTCTCTCATGAATGTGCCTGCAACGTACGGGCCGTGCATAAGCGAGTGCATGCAAACCGCTCCTCTTGTTCTCTCTTTCCCCTGTGTGCAGATAACTTCCGCAGCCTGTGCACGCACGAGAAGGGCTTTGGCTACAAGGGCAGCTGCTTCCACCGCGTGATCCCGCAGTTCATGTGCCAAGGGGGCGACTTCACCAACCACAATGGCACCGGCGGGAAGTCCATATACGGGCGGAAGTTTGAAGACGAGAACTTCATCCTCAAGCACACGGGCCCCGGTCAGTGGGGTGGAGGCTTGTGAGCTCAAGGCGATGGTGTCGCGTTAAATAAGGAAGAAAAAATAATCCCGCACACGCGTGTGGATTCTGTGACGCTCTGTAACGTGCGTTCGACGGGATTTGATGGGGGCGATAATAACGTTGCCTTCCGAGTCTCGGAACGGGATGACGTCCGTGTGGCCTCGTTGAACCACGATGCCAAATGGCGAAAATTCGTTGTGCTGCGCGGGGTGTGAATGGGATTACGTGCCCATTGACTTTTCCACAAAGTGGTCCTCATTTAAATTGTATCTACTTCAGAGGTATGACAAGACAAGTCCACTGCTGAACGGGATTTTGAATTTGCAGTTTTACGTTCGTGAGCTGCGAGCACCGATCACGGTGCCACATGGCCGGATAATGTCACCTTCTTCTTCTTCTCGTTGACCTTGCAGTCGTTCTCTTCGTGAAAATAACTATATTATGTGGTATACATACGTATGCACAGGGGCGGAGCCAGGATTTCAGGCCGGGGTGACATTCAACAAATTTTAATTTCAAGAATGATTAGAGAGTCAGGCTGTTGAACTAGACGCCATCGGTTGGCGACACGCTCTGACAATGCAGTTGCACGGAGTCCGCCAGACCGAGTGTCGTACACTTATACGCAGAATGTCACCCCTGTCACCTCCCCTGGCTCCGCCCCTGCGTATGCATGTATGTTGAACTTCTTTCGCACCGCACGTAGCCAACCGTGCTAATCGGAGGTGCGGGGGATGGAAAATAAACTAACCACAATAAAGCAGTTCTAAAGAAATGAATTTTCAATCTAAATTTTAAAATGCATAGCTCCAGCGGCTTCCGAATATCGGAAGGAAGAGCGTTCCAGACGGCCGTAAAAGCGCATCTGAAAGCGTGCGATGCAGTGACCATCTTTGTAAAGTGCAACCCACTTGTCAGTCCACTGTTGGATGATGGCCTCCCCAATCGATGTAGCTCCACGGGGGTTATTTTGTCTGCAGTCAGTGCGGGTCGGCGAAGGCAGGAGAGCATCGACACGTGAGCATGGAAACACGGAACAATTTAATTGTCACTGTGCTACCCTGCAGTGTAGGCTTGCAGCCAATTTTATTTTGTGAAGCCTCCGACTTTCACAGGGTGGGCAACCATCCATGCACTACCCAGGTTCCTCAACGTGCTGCTGAGCGTCCCAAGATGTGATGAGATTTTGGCGCATTCCGCGTGACCTCTTATTCTACCTTCGCGTTAATATTATTTCTAGATTTGAAGCTTTCGTGACTGCAAGGATCCATACTCTTTGGTTCTATTCGGTAAAGTCACGTAGGTAAAAAATAAAACAACAAAAATTACGACGTTTCGGCCACAACACAAGTGGCCTTCTTCAGGTGAAGGAACAGAACTGTCGGGACGACAGCACTTCAATGACAGCGGTCATTGACAGCGGTCATTGAAGTGCTGTCGTCCCGACAGTTCTGTTCCTTCACCTGAAGAAGGCCACTTGTGTTGTGGCCGAAACGTCGTGATTTTTGTTGTTTTATTTTTTACCTACGTGACTACCGAATAGAACCAAAGAGTATGTTAATATTATTATTAGCATGTTTCTGTCGGCCTGAGCAATGGGTCCTTGTCGTGACGTGCAGGCACGGTCTCGATGGCCAACTCGGGGCCCAACACGAACGGCTCTCAGTTCTTCATCTCGTGCGATCGCACGGACTGGCTGGACGGCAAGCACGTCGTGGTGGGGGAGCTCACCGAAGGCATGGACGTGCTCCGAAAAATGGAGGTGATGTACAAAAGTTGAAGATCCTGAGTTTTACATCGAGGCTTGTGCATATTAAAAATTATATATATACTCTCTGTAATCTTGGAGATATGCAGCATGAGGAGGTTTTGTGAGACCGGAGTTGGAATACAGTGAGTGCTCTGGCAAATGTTGTAAAATATCATCTCTGAGTGTTTAAGAAGAGAGGAAGACCGAACAGAGAATGTCTTGACGACATAAGAGATTGGTGCCAGACATATGTAGCTCTACTTGAGCATATTGGCACGAGAGAAAGTGGTGAAAACAAAGTAGTGGCAACAAGTGATAAAATGTGCATTGGGCACCTACGGGGCTATTTGCCCGTGGATCGTGGTGATGATGATGATGAATCTTTAATTCGGTGACATGTTGCTGTATGGGAACCTGGAATTGACAATGCTTGGGTTTAATGTTGGGATGTTGCCATGGTGCAATGGTTACCGCACTGGACTTACAATCCAGAGGCCGCCGGTTGAGTTTCCCGGCACGGCAGTTACAACGTTGGGCAAGTTTCTTCAATCACCACCCCTTCCCCCCCCCCCCCCCACCACATCTGTCCCCACCCAGCAGTATAAATTGGTACATCCCAGTCGATCGACAAATCGTAGACTAAAATGCAGCCATGTATGCAGGTTGAACTTCTTTCACACCGCACGTAGCCACCCGTTCAGTTTTCAGTTTCATTTATTTGGTATAGCCCTGTGAGCCGTTGGGCTCTTGAATCGGGTGCAACCGCGTGCTAACCGGTTGGGCTACTCCCAACTCTTCAAATATATCTCAGGCCAACGTGGAAGAGTAGACCAGGTGTTATCTAGGGCACCGACGTTGGTGTGCGCAAGTACTTTCAGGGCTGCACCTTTACCTTGCACACCTGCGTTTTTTTTCCCCGCAGGCTCAGGGCACGAAGGACGGAAAGCCGCGCGAGAAGATTATCATCTCCGACTGCGGGGAGTTGGAGTGAAGGAGCGGCGCTCGCGCTCATTCACACGATCGCGCGAACACCGTCCTGCATCGCCGCAGCGGCCTTTGAGCCTCGACTGTTTCATGACGTGGCCATGGGCGATTCGTTGCTTTGTGGGGCTTGGACACGGCCACGCATCTCGTCGCATCGAAGCCAATCGATTGTAAACGTAATAACGGGCATCGCACGCGCACTGATTGGAGGTGGCGGGGGTACGGGGAGGAACTGTGCATCCGTAGACGCGGAATGACCCTGGTTTAATGTATTTTTATACCTGAAATCTTAATGGAATGAAAAATGTCGAGCTGTTTTTTTGTAATAAAAATGCGTTTATTTGTTTCGCCATGAAGGGGTTTCATGGCGTTACGTATCGTCAAACTGCGTTTACTAGATAGTACTTTACAGCTTTGTGTGAATCCGTTGCTGGATCCAAGGCCCTCCTCCATGCCATGTTGGTCCTGGGGGTTATTTGGCCACACATCACATTGGTGAGCGCGCTCACGAGCGGGAAAAACCTGCCACTGATATTAGCCGTGGTCTGGAAACAAACTCCGGTGGTCGTTGCTTCATCTTATCTTCACGGAATGTATATAGCACCTTAACCAAGGCGCTTCACACGGAATTAACAGTTCTTGTGAGTGTAATGATGGAGATGAGGTGAATGAAATGGATGACGGGAAGCAATGGGCAAATCCGTGGTGATGCGTGAAATCGGTGAAAGCGACATTTACATTAAATGACGAATGAATGGGGAATGAGTGCTAGCCATATAATGAGAAAATGAAGAGGGAAAAGTAACGGTGGTGGTTATAAGGGGGAGATTAAGGGGTCGTGGTGTGAGCTAGGGAACAATTAGCGGGTTTTGGAGTTGGCAGAAACTCGTGAGCGAAGGTGACCGCTTAACGTGGAGGGGGAAGTTTGTTCCAGTAAAGTGGAGGTGAGAAGAGATAAGAGGACGAAAGCAGTACGCCGCCATCCTCCACACCACTGCAACCCCACTGATGTATTTATTTCATATGCTTTGTGTAAATACAGTCGTCTGATCCTTCTACGTAGCCTTAAATGTTGATCAATCGCTGGTTTATAAATTTGACATGATTTTTCACGCTCGTAAGTTTTTAGAATAAATATATTTTTTACGTCACCAATTCCTTTTTTAGAGAAAGTTCAACTGCATTGGGGGCGTTGCGATGCTACTGGAGCTGAACCCAACCCAGCATTCGTCTTCAACACTGGAACCGGGTGTTTAATGTTTATCGGAGATTCCTGTAAATAGCTGGAGAAACTTGATGGTTAGGTTAGTAAAACACGCAATGGTTCTAATAAGCGTGGTGATGTATGGGCACCTGAAATTGGTCTCTTAAAATCTCGCAGAGAGTGAAGAAAGTTTCACTTGCATCGCAAGTGAATGAGACACGTAATGCAATTATTAGTTAAATAACATTGGAACACCGGTCAAATGTAAAACCTGCCTAAATTGACTTTCTGGCCCAATATGATCCGGCAGTATTTGTTTTGAGTAAGCAAACTAATCTGGGTTTGGCATTCTGGGTCGCATCAACAGCTTATTAATCAAATGCTATCGAGGTGTCCCAACATGTTAATGGTAAAGTGCGCAATGATCTAAAAATTCTGCTGATAACGGGCACCACTCTTTGGACGCTAGATGGCGTGAGAACCTAAGTGAATCTCGAATGCCTTCCCATTGCGATGCCCATGGAAACGAATATAATTAGTATATGTTACCGTTCGGAATGTAACAGTGGATTAATATGAATCGGAAGATTTTTTTTTTAATCTTAGATTTGTATAAATTGTATGCACTTAAGTGGCCGCTATAAACCATGGTGGACACATCGAATCTCGACGTCTTGCATATCGCGATAGCTCATCGAATCGTCACGTGTCGTAATTCGTGGCGATATCGGCTTGGGGACGAGACACGTGGCGAGAAGGGAATCCCGGTGGACGAGACTGGCGATGGAACTGCAGCGTAAAGGAGGGAAACGCGCCCCAGAGGACGACTCTCGCTCGTGCACGAGCGAGATGGATGGCGACGACGTTGAGACGGTGCCTTCATCTAGCAGTGGATAGAACTCGGATGCACTGTTAATTTGTGCGCACTTTTGTTGTGCTGGAGCGGAAGGTGAATATGCCGTCCATAATATGGGTTAGATCGCGTAAATGTGTCGTTAAAGCCGCCACCACCCGACAGTAAGGTTTGTCACGTAAACAGAACATGGAAATTCGTTACTAGTACAGCACACCGGTATGATGGAGAGCATATCCACAACATTTACTGTGTTTTTATTTAAAGCTTTCGTGACTGCATGGATTCATCTTATTGGTTCTTTCGGTAAAGTCACGTAGAAGGGAAATAATAAAACAATAAAATTCTCACGACGTTTCGGCCACCACACAAGCAGCCGTCTTCAGGTGAAGAAACAACTGTCGGAAAGACAGCGCTCCAATGAACACTGCTAAGCTTGGCAGCGTCGTTTAAGCTGGGTGGGAGGAGCAGAGCGCCTTGACAAAGGAGTTTACATATCAACAGAAGAATTTAGCATTGAAGTAGCTAAGTTAATGTGATAGATTAGCAGGATGTTAAAGTCGGAAATTAGCATGTAACTGGTAGATTAGCATGATGTTAATGTGAGGAATTAGCATGTAACTGGTCACCGAAGTAGCTATGTTAAAGTCAGAGTTTACATATCAACAGAGGCATTTAGTATATTGACGCTAAAGAACTGCAACTGCCCGACTCATACAATAAACCGATGTGAAAACTACATTAATATAATCAAGGTACTCAATATATTCTCCACTAAGCTGAGCTACTAACAATAAGTCATACATTACACTTCTATCTCTCAAAATTATAATATGCCTCCAACTAATATTTTTTTTATTATAAACTGCCATAGTGGAGAATATATTGAGTACATTGATTATATCGCCACTAATTACAACTAGCATCATCAGACGGAAGCCAGATTTGTGGAGAAGGCCCTCCTGTTTCGTTCCTTAAATAGAGGGATAGGTGTGAGATATCGTCGGTTGTGAGCCCTTCACGTTAGTGAGTGCATATTCTTTGGGTCTTTCGGTAAAGTCACGTAGATAGGTTCAAAGAAAATAACAAACTACGACGTTTCGATCACAACACAAGTGATCGTCATCCTGATGTGATCGAAACGTAGTTTTTTTTTGTTATTTTCTTTGAACCTATCTACGTGCCTTTACCGAAAGACCCAAAGAATATGAATTCCTGCAGTCACGAAAGATTTAAGTCAAGATTTGAATGCATATAAAACAGGTCCCTGCAGGGTGGGCTGGTAGGACAAGTCTCTGCGCTGTCTATTGCTGATTTTACACCCAACAGCACGAGATTTCACTTCGTTAAAGTATTGAAAGGGGACGGACGGACGGACACAATCTATTGCAGGCTGGTACACTCAACAGCGACATTGCTAAGTGGGCATTACCTGGTAAAATAAAAAATAGTTTACATTTGTATCGATTATAAGGCTTCTTAAAGCGAGCGTTCAAGTTCAGACGCGTTAATCATGCCAAACTAAACGTGTGTGCGTGTCTCCTACGTTCGCTCTCATGGTCATTGAATTATATATCAATGCCAGCAGCTGAAGCCGGTGGCACTGGAAGCGGTAAAGTTTTCAACGTCATACATACAACACATCACAAAAACTCAATACAACTCATAAAAACAATACAACACAATAAAACTCATTAAAACACAATACAACACAATAAAACAATACAACTCAATAAAATAATACAACACAATACATCACAATAAAACAATACAACACAATACGACACAATACATCACAATAAAACAATACAACACAATACATCACAATACAACTCATTAAAACAACCCAACAAAACGAAACAAAACAATACAACACAATAATAATACAACTCATTAAAACACAATACAGCACGATACAACACAACGAAACACAACAAAACAATACAACACAAAACACAATAATACACAATGCCATGTATATAACGGCTTCCCGCGACCACGTGCCCAGGCGCTTCTCAGGAAGCAACAAGCTTCAATAGAGTTTGCGTATAAGCAGGGGAGTGGAAAAGAAAATAAGAAAGTCAAAACATCAGCCATGATTGATCCACCGACATCACTCGCAGTCCTGCAAAATAGTGGTACCAATTTACGTGTCCCTGTGAAAATAATTTTGTTAGTGTTTTTATATAATAAATAAAAAACTTAGTGCCATCCCTAGCAGTCCTGCAAAATAGTGGTACCAATTTACGTGGGCCCGTGAAAGTAATTTTTTTGTGTTTTTATAAACAAAAAAACTTACCGCCATCCCTCGCAGTCCTGCAAAATAGTGGTACCAATTTATGTGGCCTTTAAAAGTATTTTTTTTTACGTGTTCTTATATAAATATAAAACTTAACACTGAACTTTCGCCACTTCAGATTGCACGGACAAGTCAAAGAACCTGGTCTGGGCCGATGCAAGTACTTGCCTCCAGCTCGAATGAAGAGTCGAATCGGACACGATTGCTATTAGGGTCGAAGTGAAACCCAGATTTATTCGGATGGAATTACAGCCGGTCAGTGCGAAGCGGGGTTTGCGAGCTCAGACATCTTGGTGTTTGTGAGATCATTGTCCACGCGACGGCTTCGTATGTGTTGGGTAGTTTTTTTTGTATTAATCGTCTCCTGGCTCACAACTATCAGCCATGATCAACCCACTGCTGGATAAAGAGCTGATGCCAGGCCTCACGGTCCCGCGATGTGACAATCCAGCCAGCAGCACCTTGGACGTTAGCTAATGTCATCGCTCCGCTTTCGTTGTTTATCTCGGGGCTTTGTGTCTCCTTTGCCACTCGGCTGCTCCCTTCCAGCGACGTGACCCTCAGGTCCACGTGTCCACCCCCCCCCCCCCCCCCTTAAAACAAGGGTGTCGCGAATGTTTAAACGGTGAGCGATGTTTTTTGATCCTCCTTTGTTCCACTTTCTTAGAACGACGAATCAGGTGCCAGGGCACGGTTCAATGATGGCTACGTACGGTGCGAAAGAAGTTCAACATACATGCACATTGGAAATACAATGAAAACGGCCAAAACAACTTTTGTGAGCTAACTCCCACGACTACCAAAGAGTCTTGACTAGCGTGTAAGAGTAGGCCAAATACCGTCTAGATGGGCTCCCTAGAACCGTCTCGAGTGAAAGCCCTTCGCACTATCCGTGGCGTGAGCAGGCAATTGCAGGGATGCGCCTTTACCATTTTTTTTAACTGCGCCGTACGCACGTGTAGGAACATGCCCGTGGGTCTAGGCGCTCAGGATGTGAAGCTTCGGTGAATCTAGCCGAGATGCGTGGAACTCACAAAGCCGCTGGGCTCTGAGACGGTGGCGATATATGGGAGTAGCACAACAAGTGGGTTGGTGGACCTCTGTGCGGACCTTTAAGTGTTTATCAAACCGTGCCCTTGGGTATTCTCGCAGGATGCAAAAGACGCATTTAAACATCCCATTACAGGACCCTCCTGAAAAAACGAGTCTCGAGACTCGGCGAGGTTTTCATTAATAGATAAATGACATCACGCACACCTGTTCTGCTGGTGGGGTTGGCGGATCGCGGAAGGAATTTGAGCCGCCACGACTCGAAATTATGGAATATACTGTGTAGACTACAATGAAAATGCTGACACGTTTTCTAGGCGGGTGGCAACAACCCCCCCCCACATCATTCTTATTTTTGTTGCTGCTGCTACGACATTGTGTGTCGCCTTACAACGGCAGGGATGGAATTTCATCCGGACTAAATTTGACCACGCCTGACGCTGTCTCATTGGTGATGTGCCCGAGTCCTCCTTGCGTGTCAAATCCACCTCCTTATGTTCCGCGATGTGGACTTCAAAGACGTCTGTTTGTGGCGTTATTTATTTATCTACTTAGCCCGTCCCAGCCCCCCCTCGCGATCTCTCAGCCGTTCCCACCGCGTCGTCTTGTAACCGCATCGATGTCGTCCCTCGCTCCAAACCGCAGGCGAGGCACGCTTGTATAGGTTCCACGGTGGCTTGAAATAATTGCACTCCCCCCCCTCCCACCACCTTACCGCCAGCTGGCAGGAGCCATCAAGTGTGAGCGGACAGTCATCTCGGGAGTGTGTCATCAGCACTGGTTACGGGGGAAAGGAGGAGGTGGTGGTGGGGAGAGGGAGGGGTGGGTGGGTGGGTGGTGGTGGTGTCAGGGTGCTGTTTTGGAGGTGGTGGGTGGCTGTTGGTGGCGGGGTTGGGTGTGTATGTGCGTGCGTCTCATGTGTGGGAGTTTTGATTGCTGGTGGTGGTGGTGGTAGTGGTGGTTGTTGGTGGTGGTCGCTGAATATTGGGTATACCGAGGCTTCTAAATGAGGTGGTAGAAGAAGGTGGAATTACTGAGGAGAGGGTGATGGAGGGACGTGCGCACCATCGACTCGCGCAGCGGTAGAGGTGGAGTTGTTACACTCGGCGCAGGCTGAGAGTGGAGTGCGCATTCACGCATCTCGACTCTGCACGTGACAGCTAAGATTTATTAGCATCCTTCATTCGCGTGGATTTGAGCAAAGGGGCAGAAGAGATTTTTCTTTTTATTCCCGACGAATGCATCGGGCATGTCTATTGCAGTGCACAGGTAAGACGCGTGTGCCGTGTTTTGATGATCGATATTTTTGCCGATGTTTTTCGCATTCTTGATAATGTACGCGGTAAATCAGCGGATGGCGAATTAAGGACAGTTGGATCGCATTGTCTAAGGGTATCGTGCGCGTGCAGCAGGCGTTAGCTCTGTTTACGAGTGTATTAAAATACGTGTTTCCACTATGGACTTAATGGTTCTTGTTGCCGCGTGTGTTGTTAGCGAACAGCTATTAAGGTCCGTAACGGCTGACCGGAGATGATAGGGGAGAGAAGGGGGGGGGGGATGACGTGCCCGGCTGCCTTTGTCTCCCCCACTGGTGATGTTGAAATGTCGAACCAGTTGTAGTCGTTTGAGGCTGAGTCGACCCAAGTGTGCCGATGATTTTTCGTGGTCCCGAATAAGACGCGTGTCCCCTCCCCCCCCCCCAGGTTCTCATCGATAATGCGCTGACCACTGCGCCACCGCTCTTCACACCTGTGTATACCCAACTCGATACACGCACACACACACAGCCGTCTACATACGCAGTGTAAATGCAAACATCCACCATATTACAAGTGCTGTTAGCGAGCAGCTATTAAAGTGGTAATGTTGTTTACAGTACTAGGGGAGGTGCATGACCGGTTCAGATACCACTTGCGACTGATATTAGCCTCAGTCGGCTTGCAAGCTGTCGGACCGCAGTGCGCTAATTACTGCGCCACCGCTCCCCTCAATACACAGCATGCACATCTATACATACAGTATGCACAACTACACACACAGCATTCACACCTGTACACACAGTATCCACAGCTACACACGCACACAGCATTCACACCTGTACACGCAGTATCCACAGCTACACACGCACACAGCATTCACACCTGTACACAGTATCCACAACTACACACGTACACACCATTCACACCTGTACACACAGTATCCACAACTACACACGTGCACAGCATTCACACCTGTACACACAGTATCCACAACTATATACGTACACAGCATGCACACCTGTACACACAGGATCCACAACGACAAACGTACACACCATTCAAACCTGTACACACAGTATCCACAACTACACACGTACACAGCATTCACACCTATACATACAGTATGCACAACTACACACGTACACAGTATTCACACTTGTACACACAGTATCCACAACTACACACGTACACAGCATTCACACCTGTACACACAGTATCCACAACTACACACGTACACACCATTCACACCTATACATACAGTATGCACAACTACACACGTACACAGCATTCACACCTGTACACACAGTATCCACAACTACACACCTACACAGCATTCACACCTGTACACACAGTATCCAAAACTATACACGTACACATCATGCACACCTGTACACATAGTATCCACAGCTACACACGCACACAGCATTCACACCTGTACACACAGTATCCACAACTACACACACAGCATTCACACCTGTACACACAGTATCCACAACTACACACGTACACAGCATGCACACCTGTACACAGTATCCACAACTACACACGTACACAGCATGCACACCTGTACATACAGTATCCACAACTACACACACAGCATGCACACCTGTACATACAGTATCCACAACTACACACACAGCATTCACACCTGTACACACAGTATCCACAACTATACACGCACACAGCATGCACACCTGTACACACAGTATCCAAAACTATACACGTACACATCATGCACACCTGTACACACAGTATTCACAACTACACACGTACACAGCATTCACACCTGTACTCGCTTTATCGACCCCCGGGGTGGGGGGGTGGATGATGATGGGCTGGGTCAACCCGTCCGCAACCAGGATTTGAACTTTTGTGCGTATCAGGCACTCGTTCATAATTAAAGCCTCCCCCCTCCCCCCCCGTGAATTATTGAACGAGTATAACGAACGCTATTTAATTAACTCTGCCGTACCCCCACTCCCACCTCACCGGTGGTGCGTTCAACGCGTCCACGTGTTTGCACAAAGACGAAGATTTCCCCCGCGTGTAGCCTTCGTAGACGTGGTGCCGCTGCAAGTGCTGTTCGCGAGTAGCAGCACCTATGAAGGGCGGCAGCTGCAGCAGCGGCCACACGTTTATGCAGATACAAGACACAAAGATCCCCCGTGTAGCCTCAAGAGACGTTTGTGGCAAGTGCTGTTAGCGAGCACCTATGAAGGCCTGCACGGCACACGAGGGGGTGGGTGGCCAGCACCACGCTCGGCCGCCTTTGTCTCCCTCGTGGCGATTTTTTTACAAACCACACCAGGGACTTATTTGAGGCTGAGTCGACCTAGGGGAGGCCCAGGACTGGTTCAGATAATCGTCACTGGGTGTTAGCCGTGAGCGGGATTCGAACTCGGGTCGCCAGGTTCGTAGCGCAGTGCGCAGTGCGCTAACCACTACGCTACCGCTCCCCGTAACAAAAGGGACACACACACACGGACACCACACGCCCAGCGCAGAAGTGCGCGCGCCTTGTCCCAAATCGCTTTTTGTTCTTAATTGCCTCGAGTTAAATCGATACAATCATCAGGGTGGGTGGCTTTGTCAGCGTGTGTGTGTACGTTTCAATTTGCTTCACGTTGGAAAACCGTGCTGCGGTGCCTAATGTGTTTAATTACGTTGCATATTTAATGGTGGTTGCTTTGGGGAAGCGTTCGTTCGCGGCTTGCGGTTTGGTGAAGCAATGACGGCTAAGAGGCTCCTGAGAGTGTCTGTTGAGATTGTCTGTTGAGATTGACTATTGAGAGTGTCTGTTGAGAGTGTCTATTGAGAGTGTCTATTGAGAGTGTCTATTTAGAGTGTCTATTGAGAGTGTCTGTTGAGAGTGTCTGTTGAGAGTGTCTGTGTTGATAGTGTCTGTTGAGAGTGTCTGTTGATAGTGTCTATTGAGAGTGTCTGTTGAGAGTGTCTATTGAGAGTGTCTGTTGAGAGTGTCTATTGAGAGTGTCTGTTGAGAGTGTCTGTTGAGAGTGTCTGTTGAGAGTATCTGTTGAGAGTGTCTGTTGAGAGTGTCTGTTGATAGTGTCTGTTGAGAGTGTCTGTTGATAGTGTCTGTTGATAGTGTCTATTGAGAGTGTCTGTTGAGAGTGTCTATTGAGAGTGTCTATTGAGAGTATCTATTTAGAGTGTCTGTTGAGAGTGTCTATTGAGAGTGTCTGTGTTGAGAGTGTCTATTGATAGTGTCTGTTGAGAGTGTCTGTTGATAGTGTCTGTTGAGAGTGTCTGTTGAGAGTGTCTATTGAGAGTGTCTGTTGAGAGTGTCTATTGAGAGTGTCTGTTGAGAGTGTCTATTGAGAGTGTCTATTTAGAGTGTTGATAGTGTCTATTGAGAGTGTCTATTGACAGTGTCTCGTCTTATCTCGGTTCGTGCGCGCGTCCGTCTCAGTCACACAAAATCTCCGACGTGAGTCGGTTTGCGCAGGGGTGGCGCTGGAGGCATAACACAAAGTGCCTAGGGTCCCAAGTAGCTCAAGGGAACTCCCCATTCAAGTACAGGCTCGAATGGAAATCGACAAAAATATAAATGTTATTTTAAGAAGCCAATTATTCGCTCTCATTTCGATCTGGCTTCTGGTCTCAGTCGTTGCCCCGTGTCTGCATCTCTCCCTCTCTCGCTCTCGTTCCGCTACGTTTCTGTACCAATCTGTCATCTCTCTTCTCTCAACGCACTACATCTCTACCCCCCGCCTCTCGCTCTTCTCCCTATCTCTCCTGTCACCTCGCTCGGAATTTATACATCGAACTTGGGGGGGGGGTGCGGGAAGCAACTAAATGTAATCCCTTCATCAAGCTCCCCATCTGCCAGCAACCACCACTGCTGGTTGGGGTGTCGCGCTAAAACGTCGGTAACCCACACGAGCTTCATCGTCCTGAGATGTGGGGTCGGCTTGCGTTGAGCGTAGGAGCGGGGTTAATTAAGTGGATGCAGGGAGTGAATTATTAAGTCCGTCGTGCGACCGCCATCTGCGGAGCGATGATACAATCACGTGGATTGGGTTATCAGCAAAATAGAAGGAGGATAGGGAGCAGTGTGACAAAAACCTGGCAACCTGAGTTGGATTCCCGGCCACGGATAGACATCGACGGCGAGTGAGTGATATCTAAACTGGTCCTCCCCCTTCCCTTCATCATCCCTTAATGACGAGCGTGGTGAAATATGGTCAAACAGCAGCCATCGAATGAATTCCGTTTTGTTTCGTGATTAATCTTCTGGGCGAAGGCCTTTAAATTCAATCTTATTTCAGAATCAGAATCTTTATTTAGACTAGAGAAATCCGATGAGCTATGAAGCTCTTTGTTTCCCACACATGCCCAGTAGGAGCACGGGGTTTAGAAGGTTACAACAATAAAGAAACAAAAACGACAGGAGTGAGAATTCGAGACACCGGAATATATTTGCAAGAGTTACCCGGCCAAAATAAACTAAAGGAGCGTTTGTCATTGAGAGCTCTGTGACCCTACTTCACCACGCAGATCAGTGCGAGTTTGTTGTTGGCTGTGGGTGGCCGCTGGTGTTCAACTACATGGGGAGCGGTGGTGTAGCGGTTAGCGCGCTGCGCTACGAACCTGGAGACCCGGGTTCGATTCCAGCTCACGGCCAAAACCGGTGACGATTATCTGAATCGGTCCTGGGCTTCTCCTAGGTCGACTCATCCTCACATGAGTACCTGATGCGGTGTGTAAACTTCGCTACGAGGGGAGACAAAGGTGGCCGGGCGTGGTGTTGGCCACCCACCCCCTCGTGTGCCGTGCCAGCCTTTATAGGTGCTCGCTAACAGCACTTGCCCCTACAGTCTGTTAAGGCTATACGGGGGATCTTTGTCTTTGTCACCTACATGGGCCCGGAATCGAGCTCAGATCGCCCGGTCTGCAACACAGGGTGCAAACCACTGCACCAACCGCTCCATCCACTGACAGATTCTTATTTTTTTATTTAAAGCTTTCGTGACTGCAGTAATTCATATT